CATCCTCGAACCCCTGCCTGGAGCCATTGTCAACCATTAACATTAAGACCCCCCCCCTTCTATGTAATGTCGTCTTCAACTTAAATGCTCCTCTCGGAGACGAGAATCCAAACCAAACAATTTCAGCCCGCTTTTCTTCTTTGTTCTCCGATAACGGAGTATAAACGTTTATCAATTGTGAACCATTTCAAAGTTAAACAAGAATATTTCAATTAAAAGAATTAGTGACTTCCATCAACATTTAATTGTTAATCTTTTCAGAAGTTTTAATGTATAAAAAGCGTCTTCGGACTTTTCGTCAGATAACCCCCAAATAGGCAAATAGATCGTAAGAATCTTTTCATTATAAATTTGTAAACCCTGTAATAACTATTCATCATTATTCATTTCATTATTTTTTTAGGAAATAAAGAGTTTTCTGCATTATCGATTTTGATTTGTGGGTTATACCTTGTCTATCTGTTCATCGTCAGAATCTTGTGCCTTAGCGACAACAAATATATATATAAATATAATATATGGCAAATGATTGAAATAAATCTAGAGTTTTTACAGACAAATGTAGTGAATGTGATTTATAGAGAATATATCATGAAGGTGTCCACTATAAATAGAGAATTCAGAAAAAAAGCTCTTCTCATCAGTTTTAAATTTACGCTGCGGTGATTTGGACTATAGCGAGGCAGTCTCTGTGCATATATAAAAATATTTTTTCCAGTAAGGCAACTATATATCATGGAGAAAATATTAATCATAATTGGCATGGCAGTTTTTAATCTTATAGAACCTACCAAAAAGCATTTTCATCTACTCCTCTTTCATATCCTTAATCTTCTATATAATGAATATTCTTTAAAACACTGCAGCTAATTTGTTCCACAGGGCACAGGTGGCTGATTGATCATCGCAGATTTTTCATATTGGTGGATTTGCTATTTCTAAAGCTCTTTAAAAATTCTCAATTTATAGTGGACAACTTTAGGGTATAAATTAAGAAGGTGAAAGCTGTTAAAGACCGGTAAAGGAAGCCTTTGATTTGATTGAGTTTGTTAATACCAAAAATGATTGGGAAATTGAAATCAAACCCAGCTGAAACCCATAATTTAATATACACCATGAATGGGGTTGAACATGATCTAGGGGAGGGGAAGGGTAGTAAAAAAATCAGCGCGCTTTATACATTAAAAACGTTAAATTCCTCTTAGAAAACCCTTTCATACGCCCCCTGGTCCTTATATAATTTATAAAAGAATATCATATTGTTTATTTTGAAAATTTGTTTTAAATGTGAAAATAAATAATAAATTGGGAATTTATTGCTCTCTGTTCAATTTTTTTTTTGGGGGGGGGCCTAAATTTGTTTTTGTACTTCTGTTTCTTAGAATATATATTAAGTACTTTCTTCAGTCCCTATAAGAGTGAGGGGGGGGGGGGAAGGCAAGCCATACCCGTAGCGCTTCCTATCCACAATTTACTCTCAAACAGAGACTTGCAGCAAAGCGCTCACCCGTAGCACTTCCTTAGCCACACCAAATAGCTTCTAGCAAAATGTCTTTACATTTTAGTGCTTATTAAAGAGGAATACAGCATTAATTTAATTTCTATAGAAGTCATGGCATCTATTATATAATATATAACCTATACTTATTTATCATATTTTTTTGGTAATATAAGTAATTACATTCTGGCCTAGCTTGGACCAAAACTTGTCAGCATTTTGATCGAGACAGTGTTGCAGTGTAAATCATGAGTTGCGGCATTTGCTCTTACCCAAATAGCTGATCCATTCAACACTGTAAAGTCAATCTGAAACTATTCAAATCTGACGATTCCAAGGTTAAATCAAGTCTTCTACCTTGCAGATTATAATCTTTCTATGGCTTTATAAATGATTCGGCAAAGAAAAAAACAATTTTACAGTTGAAGGAAATCATAAATATAAGGAGGCCATATGTAAAGACAATTTTTTCCAAGAACTTAAATATTTTTCATACTATTATATGCCTTAATAAGTACTATATATACAACAAAATGTTTTCATGGGGGTATATTGCATTATGAAATTAAGGCATTTTTTCTTAATTTTGCCTTAATTTTTAATGTAAATTTGGTTTGCACATAGGTGTAGGAGGACAGTGAACTTTCTTTATACATGTTTATGAAATTGAGGATAATTTCAATCTTTGTAAGAAACAATGCAGTTTTGTGTAGGAATGATCTGAAATTGGAAATAAGATTAAAATTCATCTAAGTGCGATCAAAGTATGGTAGTAAAGTAATACAAATTTATTTTGTATCAATTATCTTTGAGTGATGTTGCCAAATGGCAGTTTATTAGTCATTTATGGATAAAATTAGGCATTAAAACTTAAGACATATTGCCGGAAGCTATTTGGGTGTGGCTAGGGAAGCAGAGGGGAGGAAGGCCAGCCAAATCAATTTCTTGACTGAACCACATTCTCCTCATTTTCTCGTCCGAGCCACCTCGGAATCTTCCTCCTTCAATTATTTTGTGTTGAAAAGTTTTCAATTCTAGAAGATAAAACTATTTTTTTAAAAATCTGGCCACGTTAGGGCATAAAATATGAATGGACTAAAGTATTGCAATGGCTATATTATGTTGGAATCTTCAAACCCATGAGAATGATGTCAAACTTTACTTAGGTAGAACTTAAATCTCTTCTGCCTCCTTAATAGCTAACCTTCGTGATATAAAATTAATAGAAAAATATTTGGCATATCTCTGCTTATAATTTTCCCCATGGAACCACCTGGAAAAATTCTATGGTTTTCACTATAGTTATACAAATAAGATTAAAGTTCTATAAACTTGGAATTATTTGCAGCATTCTACACCAGGAATATCTGAAAGTGCGCGTGAAAAAGGTGAACATTTTTAAGGACATTAAACTTGAAATCTTTAATTCAATTGAAACTTTTTACTTTGATTTACAAAATTTGATATTTCATTCAATGCCCTAACGTGGCTTGATTCTTAAAAAATAGTTTTATATGGAAGGATTAGACATTTAAAAAAAAATGCTGAAAGGACGAGGATTTCGAGGTGGCTCGGACGAGAAAATGAGGAGAATGTGGCTCAGACGAGAAATTGTTGTGGTTGGCCTTCCTTCCCTCGTGAGCGCTTTGCTTCAGGTCTATGACGTTGGTGAGTAAATTGTGGATAGGAAGCGCTACTGGAGTGGCTTGCCTTCCCCCCTCCTAGAGTCGATACTCCGACCAATCCTGAGAGTTGTAAACTGTACTCTGATTGGACAACTTTCTCTCGACAACTGCTGAGCAGCTAATCACAGGCCACCGTTCATATGCTTCAGCAAGGTACAAATGAAGTCAGCTGTAGGTTCTAAAATGGCGATCAACAAAGAGAATTGACAAGATTTTTTATAAATTTTCCTCGTAATTCCTTAAGAATGTGTCAAAGTTAACAATAAACAGTGAAAAAACAAAGGTAAGAATTTCGAGGCTGAATTTTATTTTCATAAAATGGCTAAGTTCTCACTGAAAACCAAGTTTTGTTAAACAATACGCGTTAAATATGTATTGATCTAAAAACAGTTCTAATAGATGCCGTATCTTACAAGTTTCAATGGCTCAGTCTTGGTAGATTTCTGGACCACGCCCAGACCTCTGCACGTCTCTAGTTTTGTTCTCAGTTCATAAATTAATGAACATGATAAAACGTAAGTGGTAGTTTCCTATAGTATTAAATAAGAGAGAGCTGACGGCCCCTTGCATATCCTAGCCGCGGCGCTTGGCCTCCTAGCCTTTCCTAGCCCCGGCGATCGGCCCCCTAGCCTGTCTAAGCCGCAGCGCTCGGCCCAGAAATTGTCTTAGCCTAACATAACCCTAAAATAGTATGTTTATGTTTGTGTGGTGTTGATTCTCAGAACTATTGGAGTATAATGAGTAAAAAGAAAATAATAATTTTTCTGAAAATTAGTAGTCATGTACAAAATTGATAGGAGGGGGGGGGGGGGGTATAAAATTTGTATACTAGGATTGACCCAAAAGTCTTACCATTTTGAAACTTTATTTTCTAGGACTTCATTTCTGGTTCCAGAATGATTTTATACAAAAACTTTCCCGGATAAAAGTCTTATTATTGTAGAAAATGATAAACCCCTGGATGTATTAAATGCAGATGTTTAGAAAAAAGTCCTTCTTATAAAATTAAACGTATCGAACTTTTTCTTCAAGACTTTATTTCGTGAGATCTTATTTCCTGAGACTTTTATTGGCAGTCCCCATATTATTTTAGGAAAAAAACCCAGTAATCTAAAACTCAGGACTATATTTCCAGTGACATTTTGTCCCAGGACTTCAGAAAATTGGGCCTTTTTGCTTCAGTTTTTATTTCCAGGTTTTTTTTTCCAGAAACCTAATCGAACCCTGAAAAATAAATTTAGTTGAAATTGAGGAGGGGGGAGGGGGAATGTACTCCGACAGAGCGCGACGTCAAATATATGTTTTAAAACCTCTGCTGCTGCTTCATTAAGTCCAGATATCTTTATTTATTTTTCTTAATTTTATTGTTGTTTCTTTTTTATTCTAAAACGAGTCCCTTTCCTTTTTCCAATTATTCAATAATTTTTTTACACGGCTTATTGACAAATGAGTAAAAAAAATTGGTGGTTGGAATTTATTTTCCAAGGAAATGTTTACTCCAAGACCTTATATTGATTTTTGTTTAATATTCCAGGAGTGTAGGATGACGGTGTGTCCTGTGTGCAGGGTTGAGGTTGTTAATCTCGTCTCACATATTGAGATTCACACTAAATCCGATATTGTCGGTGCTCTCATCAACCAGGAGACACAGAGATGTCTGGGATCAAATTCATTAGATGCAGCCCTGGATATCCAAGCTCCAGGTGGGTCGGAGAGTAGAGAAGATGGAGAGGATAATCATAATGGACCAATACATATTCAGAGAACCCTGAACAACTTTAGTATTATTAATAACATTAATCCTCAGTTTATTCCTCCATCATCAACTCTAGTGTCAGGAACCTCAAGCTTTGCCCAACAATCCTCATCCAATATCCTTCATCATGAAAACTCAAATTTAATTCAACCCGGATCCTCCAGTGTGGAATCAGCTGGAACATCTGGTATCCTTCTCCCTGGAACCTCGAATATAATCCAACCAGGGAACCTTAAACCTGCGTTCCAACCATCTGTAATGGTTCCCTCAATGATTGGAAACCATATGGTTTGTGGTGGAATACTGCCGGTAAATGTGATGGGTAGTTTATCTAGTACTCCTCTACTTTTCCCTCAGGTGAATGGTCCTACACTTCTGATCAATGTACCCAGCTACTTCTCCTACCAGGGGATCCAGGGCATGCCGGGGATGATGGTGCCAAGCTTCTACGGAAACCAGATCGCCACAGCCAACAGCAACACATCCTTATCCTATGTCGTTGTTCCGTCGTCCACTACAACAACAGCTGTTTTGTCTGAAGTAAAAGTATCATCTGCCCAGGACAGTTCTCCTGCTGTAACTGCGTCTGTGTCAAGTGCTGTAACAGCACCAGTTGTTACTCCAATGGAAGTTGAGGAAGACGAGGATCCTGTTGAAGATACTTCTGATGATCTTTCCGACGAAGGAGAAAATGAAGAGGATGGCAGTGAACCTGTAAAAGTAGGAAATGTTCGACCAACCACTGTACGATCCCCTTCTCCCATCCCTGGTCCTAGCGATATCACATCTAAGGTTACTATTCTCTCTTCAATTCTAGCCAAGAACCTTTCTCCAGAGAAGAGTAAAGATACCAAACAAGAAACAAGTATTCAACAATCTGTAATTAGTCACATGGATTCCTCTAGGCTGTTTAGAACTGGAAAAGACGTCCCTATTAGCCAACCTTGGTCCGTGAGCTCGGTTCAGGATAGTCTGCTACCTAGAGCTGAACTCCAAGAAAGGATACCACCCGTAGAAGACGAGGACGAGGAGAAAGAGAAATTAAATCAAGAGAAAACTGAACTTCCTCAACTTAATATAAACTTTCAAGATATGTTTCCAGCACATCTTTCTGGACCTTCATCCAGTTCTGGTAGAGCTAGACCGGCAACATCATCTGTGATAGTTAGTCTTAATTCTGTGTCAGAACAGTCAGAACCTATTCCAGGTAAACCCTTATCTCCAGGTGGTCCAACTACCATAAATACAGTTGAAGCTCTCCACTCTGCTCTAGCTTGTGATTCTGATGTTCAGTTGGTTGTATCCAACCAGCTCATGGAGACACCGGAGTTCAAGGCGTTGATGCAGGATATGGAGCATTCATCCATCCTGGACCAAACCTCGGTCCCCGCCTCCTCTGTACGCACTCCAGTAGAGAACCCTGACCTAGATTTCACTAGCCACGAGAGTGTGAGCACAAGCTTTTCCTCGGAGTCAACCAGAGATCAATTCGATCATCCTCAACACATCCTTTCATTCCCACCTCCATCAGAGGACGATTTAACCCTTCAGGATCTGATTGCAGTTGAGACGATTGACGAATCTCGAATGCCCGAGGACGACGATATCTCCTGGACTGGTCAACTGTCCGCCGACTCATTTCAGTATATTTCTAATATTATTGAAAACAATAAACCCGACGAATTGTTTAAATGTGACAAATGTGGACTCCACTACGGATCCCTGTGCGAGTACAAGGATCACTCTGTTGTGTGTCATGTTTACAGGAAGGATATGATAACCAAGACTAAGAAACAAACCATGTTCCCTGATCTCCGGATTCCTCCAAGTTCAACTATAACTAGCAGAGCACAAACCTTCTATACCCATGTAAAGCTTGAGCCCCCAGAGCACTTTAGATTAGTCAAATCCGAGCTTACAGTAGCAAACCAGGATCCTCTAGCTGCTTCAACAAATCATTGGAAATGCGCCCAATGTAAGAACGTTTTTGACTCTGGACCAAGTCTACTCAGACACCTGGATGAAATCAAGGCAGCTAAGATCAAGTGTCTGAGCTGTCACAAGGTGTTCCTGGAGAAAGATGCTCTCGTAGAGCACAGTAATCTAGCACACCCTAAGAAGTTGGTTAAGCTGAAGAGGGACCCGGAGCAGAGTATTGATGATTATCTGAAAAATCTTCTTCCAAACGAGATGGGAGAGTTCTCTTGTGATAGGTGTGATCGAGCGTTTGGAGAAAAGAGCATGTTGCTTAAACACATGACTTGCCACTTCAATGCTAAACCTTTTGAATGTTTAGAATGCGGGAAAAGATTTGCAAAACTAACCTTGATGAAAGAACACACAAAAAGGCATTTTGAACCCAAGAAGTACGCATGCTTGTATTGTGAGAAAACGTTCTTTGTTCCCGGAAAGTTGAAAGAACACATGAGAATTCATACTGGCGAAGCCCCATTGAAGTGTGATATATGCAGCCGAGGATTTAAACGTCACAGTAATTTGTCAGAGCACAAAAGAACCCACTACCCGAGCGAGGTGAAACCTGCGAAGGAGTTGTTCTGTCCAACCTGCGGAGAGCAGTTTAAAACTAAAAGAGAACTAGACTGGCACGTGGAGGAGGTTCATGAAAGGTAAATAAATAGTAAATAAGTTGACTCAATTTGTGGATTTCCTAACAAGGTTATTTTTTATCACTTTGATGTATGGCAATTAAATCACACAATCATGTAGTGATTTTATGGAGGTTAAAAATGTGTTTTACAAGTTATCATAATTTATATATTTTTTTTTTATGAATTTATCCTTAAAAACGTTTAAACGCTCTGCTTTTTTATCGATTGAAATTTTTACATTATTAATCCTAATGATATCTACACAGTCTTATTATGTCTACGTTTTGATAAAAAATATCGAATAGAGTTTTACCAAATGTTTATTTAGGGTTCCGAAGAAATGTCGGTTTTGTGGAGATTGTTTTGTTCACTCTAGTTCCCTTACTCGGCATATCAGGTAAATATTAAGCGGGGGGGGGGGGGGGNTAAATCCCCCCCCTCTTCCAATGGTAGGTTTACATTTGTTTCCAACAAATTGTATTCTGGGATTTATTTTGGGGCACTGGTTTTTAGACTTGTTGAAAATGAATCCTAAAAAATTCAATTTGCAAGTGTTCACCTCTCATTGATATTTCCTCCCTCTAAAAATTTTCATCTCGAAATTTCCCCCAAAACACAATTTTTTAACTATAAGTTTTGGACTAACAAACATGATTTATGTTGCTGAATTTTATTTTATTCTAGATTGAAACATGAAAATAATTTCCGCCCTGAAAAGAAGAATGCGAGCCTGTACTCCAACTGTCCCATTTGTGATCTGGTTTTTAACAAGACCTCAATTAACAAACATATCAGGTACAAGACCTTAACTTTTATCCAAACAATATTTTTCTTCCGTCATCTATTGAGAGACTGGTAAATCTTCGTTAATTTGATTAATCAAATGTCTGTAAACGTAATTATAAGTGACCCTTATTAATTATTATAGTGTTGTAAGTCTGATTAAGTACGGTTCCCTTAAAAGTTTTGTCTGATCTAGTATGAATTAGATATCCAATATCCATATTTATTATCTTGAAAACTGATTATTTTCAATTGTGTTTTTTTTTATACCAAAGCGACTTGGGATTATGCTAATCGTTATACTACAGGAATTATTAAAATTCAATACTTTTCAAGCTAGAAATACGACGATATCTTCCACGTTGTTGATCAAATAAAGGTTTTAAGGCCATCATTTTTAATTGGAATCCTTTTTAAATAGAGGTTCAATTGTAATTAACAAAATGACTTAGATATTAATTAATTTTATCAATTTTATGAAAAGAAATAAATTTAATACGAAAAATATTTATGAACTTATTCCGTATCCACGTTAAAACGGATAAAACCTTGGGTGCATTGTATTTTTCTCTTTAGTTTTCTCCACAGGATCATCATCTGCATCAACACTATATTCAATAATTGTTCAGAGTGGTTCATCGGCATGAGAGAAATTTTCCTTGTGAGATTTGTAAGAAACTGTTCGTCTCTAAGAGTAATCTGGAAAGTCACATGTGGCAGCATAAAAACAAACGACAGAGACCGTTCAAGTGTACACAATGCAATAAGGTAATTATAAAATACTAGGCTTTCAGGGCGCATCTCCTTTTTCAATTGTAAACATTTTCTCTTTGTAAACGTTGAAAAACAAAAACAAAAAATTCGCGGATTTTATTAAAAAAAAAACGTGGATTTTCAAAGTTTAATAAAAATCGAATTTTGTTTGATCATCCATAAACCTTCCCTGGGGTCACGTGAGGTCTCACACACAAACAGACAAGCAAAGTATATATATAGATTCAAAAATATTTATCACAAAGCAGAATGGCAAAAGGGTAAATAAGTTGTTTTCAAGAAGAGAACAAGGATGTATATTTCTATATTTCTCGAAAATTTTTCCTCCTTATGAAAANTGGGGAAAATTAATTACATTTTTTAGGCAAAAGTATGAAAAAGAATAAAAAAAATGCCTTCTGATGTCCAATTTTATTCCCCCCCCCAGATCTTCTAAAAAAAATTTAAAAATATACACAGGGAATCGAAAAAAAGGAATAAATGTAAGGGGAAATATGAGAAAAAAGCAGTGATAAACAAATATAGATATATTTAAAGAAATTTAAAGAAATTTAAAGAGACAAGAGAAGAAAAAAAGAGGAGGGAGGGAAATCGAATAATACCACGGGCAACGCCGGCCATTTCAGCTAGTATTGCATTTATTTCTTGAATCTGAGAATATTGTTTTTTACATTTTAGGCATTTTTACGGAACAATCAGTTGGTTGCTCATCAGAGAACCCATCAGGGGATCAAACCATTTGTATGTAACGAGTGCGGGGTTCAGTTCACCATGAAAACTAATTATAAACGACATGTGGAGGAGCATTCAGGCACCAGGTATTATTATTATTATCTATTATTATTGTTTATTATTCATTATTCATTATTCATTATTCATTATTCATTATTCATTATTCATTATTCATTATTCATTATTCATTATTCATTATTCATTATTCATTAACATTATAACATTATCATTATTTACATCACATCGGTCATCTATGACGCGCATACAAGGTGGAGTCAAGGTCATTAATTGGTTAATTAACGTGACCTGTTTATAGACAGAATATTCCGACACTGGTCATGCTACAGGGTGTTCAAATATATATATATATATATATATATATATATATAAGAAATACAATGTATCATAATTTCATTTCTCTTTTAGAAATTTCTCCTGTACAGTTTGTACTAAAACGTTTACTAGAAGTTACTATCTAACAGATCACATGAAGGTAGAACATTTAAACTTTTTTTTTAAAATCATATTTTATTTACAATTTTAAATAAGAAGGATTTCTGAAAGAAATATTCTTTAACAAAACTTTCTCCCTCACTAAATTTCTTATTATCAAGAAAGAAATTGAGTTTTCAACACAATGTCATCAACACTAAATATTTCGGACTATGAATTCTGTTAGATTAAATAATCTATTATCAAGGTTTACACAATTAGGTTTAAAATATATAGGGATAAACCAAATTGAGTTTGTGGCAAAGATCCAATTCCTTTGCGCAGATGTCTGCGTAGAATTGTTAGGTCAAACGTAGTAATGAAGTTGGTGCAACTTTGCTTGTTTGGAAGTCATTTCTTTTTCAGCTATGCATATGGATTGGTTTATATGTAGGACATTCCTAAAACTCTGATTGATTGATTGTTTGATTGATTGATTAGGTTCACAGCGGGGAAAAGCCCTACATCTGTGGTATCTGTGGTAAAACTGCGGCAACAAGATCAAACTACAACAGCCATCTGAAGACCCACGCTACCAGGTCAGTGAATTATCTCCATTTTCATTTATCCTTTTATTTTGTTCTATCCTCCGTTTTGTTTTATCCTCCATTTTGTTTTACCCAACATTTTGTTTTATCCTCAATTTAGTTTTATCCTGCATTCTGTTTTACCCAACATTTTGTCTTCTCAACCATTTATTTTTTCATCCACCAAGTTTTTTATCAACGATTTTTTTTATCAACCATTTTTTCACTTCACCAATTACTTTTAAAGGCTATTTTTGTGTTCAATATTCTCTCGATCCCCATTTTGTTTTATTCAATATTTACATATTCCGCCATTTTATTTTAATTTATTAATCCTTAACAGACCTTGCAATTTAACATTGTCCTATTTTATTTTGTTTTAATCATAATTTTACTCAAAAAATATGGATTAAAACATGAAAATACTATAATTGCTTGTACATAAATGAACATAAATTAAGGTTTATTCATCCAACTCCTGTCATGACCTAATTCTTACTCAATCTATTAATGTTTAATGATAAAGAACTATAACAATTTTAATAATGGTTTTCGGGATTATTAATTTAGTAATAAAGGAAATAAATTCAGTATATTTTACATTTTACGTAATGATTGTTTTTTGTTTCAATGTGGAATATGAAATCAATTAATCACGAATAGTGAAATCAATTAATAAATAAGTGGTTAAATCAATTGACGAAGAAATAAATGTTTATTAGATAAATAAGTGTATCAGAAAAAAAAATTGAGAATAAATCAATCCATCAACAAATAGATCAAATTTATTCTTATTTTCAGGGAACCTGTTAACTCTGAGGTTTAAATCAATCAATCAATCAATCCACAATAATTGACAATAAAGTGATACTGGCTCCGACGCGAATACTAAATGAATTTGAAACAATGTGAAAAGTATTCGTGAGAAGGATTTGATCTCTATTCTCTAGTTGTAATTTATTATCATCTACTATGTTTATGTTTATGTACAGATCCTCATACACGTACCATCCTAACCACTGTACATACAGTGGGACCTATAAAACTGTGGAATAGGAATAGATTTTAAACAGTCTAATTGACGTCAAGTACTATTGTACTATGAACACTGTACAGTGAGTCACTGAGTGTATACTTAATATTCTGTTTTAAAGCTATTGCGTTATAAGATTAGCTAATCGTCGTTTTCATATTCCAAAGTTTTATGGGTCTCACTGTACCTAATCCCGAAAATTTATTTAATTTTTAGCAAATTCAACCATTTTGTGATCATGGAGATATGAGTTGTAATGTATATTGTATAGTTCATCTCTTTATCGACTAGTTAATGTTAGATTAAGAATTTGTATAAATCCGTTGTAATCAATCCGCTTGAAGGGGGGGGGGGGGGTATTTTGTCCATTTTAAAATCGTTGCATGGATTCATGCATTAAGACGATAGGTACTACATTAGACTTCTTGTTATGATCAGAGAACATATTTTTGAAGGAAAATATTGCAAAACCAAGCTGTTTAAAACCTTCCTTCGTAATTCATCAATATTTCTTTTTAAATCATTTCCCAGAATTGATTCGTGATAATCGATAATTCATTAATTCGGACAATTATTTAGATTATTTTATTGCAAAATACTTATCCTTTGAGTTAATTGCGATTATAAATATAGACTTAAATTCTATCATTTTTGTAACTTTTAGACCTTATTTTTGTCGAATCTGCATTTGTTTTTTATTTTGTAAATGTTTTTTATTGTAACGGATTTGAGGGAATTTGAGAGGGGTTATTTACATGTTAAGCTAAATTTCCATTAGTTGTAATTAACAAATTGAAATAAATTTGTAATGGATGGAAAGCATTTACTATTTCTAGTATAAAAAATAAAGTAATTACAGATCCAGAAAACATTCTTTCTCTGTACAACTGTCTTATGTACATTGTTGAAATGTTAATTTCAAAAGTTCTTATTCTTGAATAAGTTAGTCTTATTTTTTATCAATTTGAAATACTGTATTAATTTTTACATTTAAATTTAAAAATGTACTTTATCAAAATATTATTTAGTCTAAATTCTTGTTATTTAATTTATTAGTGTGTTAGTTAAATAAAATGTAAGCTATGATAAGATGATGTAATTTTTTATTAGATATGCAACGGAGGCAAAAAATTTATACTTTTTTTAATAGAAATTTTTTTGTCCCCAGGACATGAGCGGGTTGTTACGATCTAATCTCGGAATTTTTTCTATTGCGAAAGTTTGTGTTCTCTGTTTTTTTTTATATTGATCTACCAGGGGTTGTTATCCGGCAGCACATTCATCCATCCACGCTTCATGCATTCTGAGAAGAGGGTTGACAAGATTCCAGCTGCCTAAGATCCTTCTTAGGCCTGAGAATATAGAGTGCAGGAATCCTTCTGATATACTGGAATGAGGCCCGGGTGCCATACTGATAGGAAACATCACACTCATTGCCCCCTAACATCTGTAAGCCCGGATTGGATACCCCCAGGTACCTATAGCTGACAACTATAGACTCTCCCTGCTTGTCCACCATTCCTCTCTTCATCATCATTCACTTGGATCAATCCCACTTGAAGCTTATTTCTTGTTGAGCAGAAAGCTGCGAGAGTTGTTGACAGCCGCCCCTCTGTCCTCCTACATCCGTCAGGTGGCCATAACCGCTTAACCAGATGTCGGCTTCAGATGTTTTTGAAACCACAGGTTTGTGTGGAGTACGGGGAATCGAACCCGTGAACACCAATCCAGTTACTGGCTGTGGACATAATATGTTTTAATTGTTATGATCTGAGAGTTACTTATAAAAACATTTATTCCTGCAGTTTCGAGGATTTTTGGTAATGAAGACAACATTTTCATATTTTCCAGGAATGTTCGAAAACAAGTTGTAAGCTAAATATTATTTTTAAAAAATTAATCAAAACATATTATGAAAAATCCACTATATACAAATGGGGCGAAAGATAATCGATGTCTATAGGTTGTACTATTTGAATGATTTGTTTGAAATTAAATAGATTTTTTTACGGTTTGAGTCGTATGTTGCATCTTTCTGAATTTTTATGGACACTATGTTCTTCGGTATTAGTCGTTTTTAACAATTTTCTCCTTATAGACGCAACAGCCAGAAGTAAGATTAGTAGCGATCAAAAGCGCTTTTTTATTGCATTAAGCCTATACCCCCTTTCATTTTTCGCTAACACTCCCTTTAAGCACGGAAGTCCATCTAACATTTGCATAACATGCTTTTCTTTCTTTTTTACAATCAAAAAGTTCGGCGAGAAAATAGCTTTTATTTAATGGTTTTTTTTTCTCAACAAATCTTGGAATGGCTGGGGCGTTTGTTAGGAATAGCTTTTACTAATAAGTAGACAAACAAAAAAATATTGTTCATAAAATGAAGATTCTAAAAAACATTGCTGCAGTTTGTAAATTTTCTTTCTAGTTATTGAGATATTTAAAGAAACCAAAAACAAAATGATTTTAAAACTATTGGGGCCTTTATTTTTACAAAATACTTCCAGATCGAAAGATAATTAAATTTTCTTTAATTTGAGCATTGGTGAAACTGCCTTTTATCGTGTTTATGAAACATTTCTTGCTCAGAAAGGAAGATATTTGGAGAAATACTTCTGGAGTAAACTTAGTTTGTTTTGTTGTAATCTTTGATTTAAACAATACATTTTTTTGGAAAAATGTTAATTTAAATAAATGATACTTTTCTAGAGTTAATTTGAACTACAAAAAAAAAGATATTGCTTAAATCAAAGATTATAAGAGATGAAATGAAATTCAATTGAAATTTTATTGTTAAAATATTTTCCTTTTAATGTAAAAAATGTTTAAAGTTTTATAATCAACTTTATTAGTCATAATTAGGCAGTATTTAAACAAAGAAACAAAATCTACAAAGTTTGGGTTTTTCCAGTCCAAACTTTGATTGTGAAAAAGAAATGAAAATGTTATGAAAATGTTAAGGATACCATATGATGGACTACTGTGCCTAAGTAATCGAATTACCGGAATTTGTAACCAAATTTTGATTGGGGAACTCGGTGGAGAACCACAGTGCCGTAGCTGCAAGTTAATAATTCCTAATTGAGAAGTTTTACCTGAACAGAGAAAACCTATAGTTTCCAGGCGAACTCTTGTTTCCCCGCTAGTTCATACATTATTTAATTCATAAGGTAAACGAGGCCGCATGATGACGCATGGGTTTCACTGAAAGAGACTGTTTGTAACTTAAAGTAGGTGTTAAAGTTCCACATATATTTCAAAATATATTTCGGTCTTGATTGACCGCCTTCAGTTCTAAAACGTTTCTTTTTTTAATCGGTTTTCGTTTTGAACAATACAAAACGATAGTAAGTCGAATTTTCAAAGCATACAACTCAGAGGTCACAATGTCGAATAGTAATGTCGCTAAAGTTTATTTTTTTTCGGAGGGACTTGACTTAAATATTAAATAGTCCTTCAAATTAAAATAAAACACCTACTTGGCAGCAGGCATAGACCATTTTTGCGATTTTTCCATTTTCTTTCCATTGAAAGATAAAGTAAAGTAAATAGAAAACTGTAAAACACCTTCTCATAAAAAAAAACAGCTCGCTTATCTTTATTTGGCTTGTCTGTTTCATCTGTTTGTTTGCTTCCAATACACGTCAAAACAGCTGAACCTATCAGGCTCAAATTTTTGTGGCAACTCACATGACCCCGTGGGAAAGAGTTTTGGCCGTTCAAAATTATAAAATTTTATCAATGAAAACCGAAAAATCTAAAAACGACGTAGAAAAAGGAAAACAATAGTTTTTGATATATGGTCTTTTTTTTGAAATTACACGAATTAGTCGTCTTTTCTTTTCTTTTTAATTCGTCGTTTTTTAACGAAGGTACGTTTGTCCTTTTTTTATTCCTGATCATTAACGATGATTTTCGTTTTTCAAAAGTTTAAAATGAACAGTTCGTTATTTTTTTTTCTAAGCCCGAAAAACTAGCGTTTTTTTTTGGTCGTTTTTAAAAACGATTGACAACCCAACATTAAATACAAATTTAGGAAATAACAACTGCAATTATCATACATATTAAAAAAAAGCAAAGTGTAAACAGAAAATGTATGGTCTGCCCCTTTAATTCTCTATAAATATGTATAATGACACCCTGTGAATATTCTAATAGTGATTAATGTTCTGATTGAAGGTATAAATATTTAATATATGAAATACCATCATTATAACATTATCATTATTTACATCACATCGGTCATCTATGACGCGCATACAAGGTGGAGTCAAGGTCATTAATTGGTTAATTAACGTGACCTGTTTATAGACAGAATATTCCGACACTGGTCATGCTACAGGGTGTTCAAATATATATATATATATATATATATATATATATAAAATTGGTTTTAAATGAGACAGATTTTTCTTTAATTTTTCATAAAATCGAATTTCCGATTGAAATTTTTTAGATATAATTAAATGTTCCTATTAATGTGATAAACTCTACTTTATTTATTTTTTGGAACACACTGTATTTTCTGACATGGGCCGTGTATTGAGCTTGCTCCCTAGATACAAAGAACGTCATACAATGTTGTCTCTGAACCTTTCTTGTTTGATTGCTTCTATTTCTAACCAAGAGCTGTTTAGGTCATATCGTTTATTTTTTAAAGCTTTAAATTTTTCAAAGAAAAGGAAATTTAATTGGATTGGATAAATTTTTCTTTAAAAATAACGACACAGAGTTTTTTATTTAAAAAATTTTTCTAAAGAATTTTATTGGGTGCAAATTATTGAAAGTTTCCCACTTTTTAACTCTGTGGAAAAAATGTTACAGATTTATCAAAAGATTAGAAAATGCAGCTGTTGGCATCCATCTTGGTTTTCTCTCTCCTTGTCCTGGATTCGGATGCAATCCAGGTAAAATACAGTCAGGACCAGAAAATTGTGGATTCGGAAGACGATATCAAACAATGATTAAGTGTATTTGATGTTGGATTACACATTAAATAGTTTCACTATAAGTGATTTATCAAATTACACATTCAACAAAATGGGTCTGTTTATACTGCACAATTTTTGTGTCTCATGTGTCTAAATTACAAAATTACACCATAATTGGTAAATAAAGATTCAAAATGAATTTACAAATTCGTTAAACTTAAATCTAAACAATTTTGCTATGAGGTTTTCTAAAAAGAATATTAATCTCAGAGTCAGGCTAACAAGAGTCTTGAACGAAAGTGTTAAATATCAACATCACTAATTTCATATCTTTGCCAATTAAAAAAATGTGCTTCGGAGTATCTTTGTTTTTTACTGGCGTATTACCAAAAATAGAAAAAAGATTTTAAAAGAATTTTCATTTTGACCTTTTAGAGAATGCGCCATGCCATGCGCCATGCGCTGTAAAATTTGGGACCGGTCTAATTCAGCCTCTTTTTTAGACAAACCCCAATTCTATTTAATTTTTTTCTTCTGAATTGTTTATTTCTGTTTAGTGCTATCAATGCACCAGTTTCCTAGGCGGGGAATGTAGCGAAACTGCAAAAGGTAAATAAATAAATTTCAGTTCGTATTATTCCTCTCCCTAGTTTCTAACATTTTTTTAAAGAATTTTTTTTTAAATTCAATAATTTCATTTAAATTATCAAGTGTTCGAACAGCTATCAAATATACTGACTTTAGTTCTAAGGTTGCTTGATCCTAACCGGTACAAGGATGCCAGTCTAGTTTTACCGTACCGACCCTTCTTGTGTACCCAGTATGTGGTTGACCCGTTTTATGCAACAAAATTAGGCGGTCGGAACTATAGTGTAGTATTGGTATCTATAGTTCCTTATTATGGTATAACTTGATTTTATTTCTATGTTTTTCAGTTTTCAGGGGAAAAAGGTTAAAATTGTAATTTATGACAAAGCGCGGGTAAACGACCTTAGTAACTATAAATAACGCTGGGTTCCCAAGCTAGGTATGGTATACTTTTGTTATTTTTATCTTTAGGGTTTGGTCTACCGGCCCACCGGAATTATTGAAAAGTTAATCCTTTCAGATAATTCATTTCTTCCTTTCCTTTTGTCTCAGATTTTATGACCCAGGAAAAATATCTGCAATGATTCAATTGATTTATAAATTTGTAGAAATCAATAACAAAATGAGATAGATATAGATAAATATGTAGTTTGAAATTTTAGTTTGGAACCTTTTCTAAATATTTATCCTTTTTAGGTTCTGTGGTTACGTGTCCTGATGGTATTACGTCCTGCACAATAGTAGAAGGTATGTTATCATTGAATAAAACACGGTCTCTGAAAGAAAAGCCGGTTCTAACTGCATTCGTTTAAAAAAGCAAAAATGTTATATTTCAAAACTGTTTTTAAAACTAAAATTGTTATGCTACATACTTCTAATTGATATTAATCGATCGGAAAGGTTGCAAAGATTTTAAAAATGTTCATTTTTTTAAATAACCCATGGTAAGTGCGACGTTTAGATACAATTTTTAAGTGTACAATGCACTATGTACATTGTACATTGTACTTTACAATTCGCATGTTCAGCGTATGCTGGGGGTGTACTGTTTACGTACTCGAGGGGGTGTGTAAGTGCTGACTCTTCCGGATTCTCTGCAGAGCCTGGATGCACAACTATGGATTCAGTTGCCGCGGTAATGTAATATCGGCATGGGAAAAAAATATTTTCAAACAAGTTTCCAAAATGAAAACACCAGAAAATCTCCTTGACTTAAAGCGTTTTGAAAATTTATAAATAAAATTTATTGAGTTGCTTATTGCATAAAGGCAATATGTATAGTTAACCCTATTCCTGCTGGGGGGATGGGGGGACCCCCCCTGTATAGTTTTTTAAACATAACTCAAAAAGTATTGGTCTGAGGCTGCTGAAATTTTCTGACTTTTCCTAAATACCTATTACCCCCCATTTAGGCCGTTTTTTAAAACAATTTATTATTTTTGAATTTTTAATCTTATAAATTGGATACAGTTGATTCTTCTTCTTGTCATCGTTTTTCTGCTTCCTTTTTATTTTTCTTACGTTGACTGTCCCTTTAGGTCTAAAACTGGGCTTTCATACTAACTGCCTGATTCCTGCAGCCACACTGCCTGAATGACTACTTTTAGCTGTAACAAACTAAATCTTTGTTTTGACCCACTTTCAGTAGTCAGATTTTGATCATTTTTAGTCTTTTGAAAAGTCTTTGACATATAAGGAAACGGATTGCACACGTTTTGTAACGAATTTTTTGAAAATTATTTGCATACAACCCGTCAAAAGAAATTTGCACATTTTTAGTTTTTCTTATAGTTACAGATTAGGTTATTTAATATATTGCAAATTTCTTTGCACATTTGGAATGGCACGGTCAAGGGCTTTTTATCATTTTTTGGACATTTTTTTGCAAACATTTTATTATATATAACTGGATATTGCAAAAAAATAAAATTTTTGCAAATTTGCAATTTTTTGCAGATTCTAAAAGTAGAGCATAAGAGCTTTCCAATGATGTCTCATTTGTCATATTTGGACATCAAACATGGGAATTAGAGGGGGGTCTTTTTTTGGGGGAGGGGGGTCAAATTGGCCCCCCCCCCCCATCGTATCGTGGTTTTCAAGCATTCAAGATGCAAGTTATATGTTGAAATTCTTTTTATGCATTTTTTTTTCAGAAAACCAAGAGCTGCAACTGTGCAACTGACAAGTGCAACGAAAGCTTTGAAACAGCTGGAGCCAGGGCTGTACAGTTCTCCCTGGTGGCGGCCATCTTGTCAGCTGTTCTCATTAATCAGTTGTAAACTAATTTTATATAGACCTACAAAGCGCGTATTGATTATACTTTTTGTTGCATTTCGAGTTAAAAAATATAGATTAGTTCAAAATAAATAATGAAAATATTCTTGTTGTCGCTAAGGCACAAGATTCTGACGATGAACAGATAGACAAGGTATAACCCACAAATCAAAATCGATAATGCAGAAAACTCTTTATTTCCTAAAAAAATAATGAAATGAATAATGATAAATAATTATTTCAGGGTTTACAAATTTATAATGAAAAGATTCTTACGATCTATTTTCCTATTCGGGGGTTATCTGTCGAAAAGTCCGAAGACGCTTTTTATACATTCAAACTTCTGAAAAGATTAACAATTAAATGTTGATGAAAGTCACTAATTCTTTAAATAGAAATGTTTTTGTTTAACTTTGAAATGGTTCACAATTGATAAACGTTTTTACTCCGTTATCGGAGAACAATGAAGAAAAGCGGGCTGAAATTGTTTGGTTTGGATTCTTGTCTCCGAGAGGAGCATTTAAGTTGAAGACGACATTACATAAAACTGGGGGGGGGGTTAATGTTAATGGTTGACAATTCTATTTACCAAGCCAGAGTTGAAATTTTATAATGCAGGTCAATTTGACATTTGGGCCATGCAAGAATAAATAGACTTTTTAAGCGCTCCAAATTATTTTTATAACATTTTAATGAAAATTGAATTCTTGGAATTTTAAACCACCTTATTTGCCCTAAAGATGCAAACCTGTATCTAGAAAAGAGCAATATGAGAGTTTAAAACACGTTGAAATAAAATTGTGAAATACACAGTATCAATAACTACAAAGATGAACTGGCTCTGCAGGTACTATTCATAAAGTTACACTTAATTTAATTACATTTCATAAATCTAATTACATTTAATATAATTACATTTCCTGTAATTTACATTTCCCGTGAGAGGTACATTTTTAAAAAAGTTACACTTCCAATGATAAATTTAATTGTAACAATGAAAAGTTGGTAAAAGTTGAAGCCTTAAACTGAAATGCATGAGTCCACAAAGTATAAAAAAAAATGTATTTACAGCATAAAAAAAACAGATAATATTCGATACTATACTTATTAAATCAAGCCGGAGCTTTTGACGTACTATCTGCCTCTCTTCCGCCTCACATGGCAAATCAACCTTCCTCCTTTGATTTTTCGTTGATACTACTGATCTATTCGGCTTTATCCTGGCAGATACTACTGATCTATTCGGCTTTATCTTGGCAGATCGTATTCATGCCTCCTCATGAAGCCTGGTTATTGGCCTGAGTTTAAAACAGAACTTGAGGTCAATGTCGGCTTGAATTTACCACGAGTCGATGCATGATATCTGGAGGAGATTTCCAACAAACAAAATATCTTCTATACATGAGGCGGCTTATTATCCGCCCTACTGTTTAAATAGACTACAGGCATATTTACATGTAAGCTTCTTCATGGCTTACATTACGTTACACACACAGAACAGAGATTAGAGTAGAAAGGAATTTTAACATTCCCTGGCCTCGGTAGGAATTTTGTCAGTCCCTTTGAGCCTAAAAAGGAGTTCAAAGTGTACAATTAATTTAAATTTTCACAAATTATATGTAATACATCACACTAATTTTGCATAGTTGGAATCCATTGATTTGGCAAGTTGGATCGATATCTGCATATTCTCTACAGTATGACTTTGGAAGAAACATTTCAAATATCTCTGACGAATTCTCTCTAGATATATTAAACAGCCTGCCAAGAGTCATCTTTGAAGAATGTGGGCCGCTCACCATTCAAGAAGAAGACAATATCGAATGTTTGCAGCATCTCCTGTTACAGCTCCGGGACTGTGTAGAAGACGACATTAGAGAAGAATTAAATTCGAAAAGTTGAAAACCTATGCATAAATTGAATCCAATCTAATATCTAAACCAATTTTATGTGTTCGACAAATAAATAATAATAGTAACACTCAGGGCAAAACTTAAAAGAAATTTTCTGGGTTTCCGAAACCAAAACTGGCCACAATACCGGGTTACCTCTCTTAAGTCTGGATTTTTCTGAAAAAAAAACGTTGAAATAAGATAACTTTAAAGATGTTGAGATGTATTAGACTGCAGCTAAAATGAAACCTTTATGTATCCAGCTAAAAAAAAGATTTATGTTTTACATTTTCCAATAATCTGTATAAGCTGAAACAAATGTTGTCAATTTGGCTAATAAAAACTATATGATCGCCACAGGCTACTTGGCTTGAAATTTGTGATTTTTTTTCTTCAAATACAAATAAAATATAAAAGGGGTAGCAGAAACATTTTTTCAATTTTCGGTTTTAAAGTTCCCTTTTCTAGAACTTTTCATTAAAGGTCGGATAAATTTTCCCATTTTATTCCAAAACCCTGGGAGCAGCCACCCCTCCCTCGCTGGAGACTACAATCGACAGCTTTCTGTAACCGAGTTGACTAGAGCTTGATCAAACTTGATAACACGTTTTAAAAGGCGAAACCCAAACTCTGGCAAACCTGGGTTTCAGGAAATGGGGTTTCGTAACGAGTTTAAAGATTTTCTCAAGTTTTGCACTCTGGACATATCCGTTACAATTTCTTTGTTTTTTAAAGTTGTTAATTAACTTTTAATATGTGTATTAGCTATATGGGAATTAAAATCATTATTGTAATAAACCAAAGAAAATAAAATATAGACTAGAGTGGAATTTACTAGAAAAAAGTCTAAAACGGCCATTTTGTTGTACTGTTTCCATACTGCAGGTGTACTTCACATATTTGCGCTATATAACCTTTTGGGCCCTGGAACATGATTTATAAAAAAAGCTAAAATTAATGTTAAAAGAAACCCAAATTATGAAATAGGCTGGTTTCATAATTGACCAATGATCATTTCACATAGACTCTATGCCTTTCACTTTACAAACGATGATTTTCCGTTTTAACTATATATCAAATGATGTTTTTTATTCACCTTATTCATTTCATAAAGTTTATTTAACAGCTTTAAAAAATTCGAAATTGAAATGGATAGTCTATATAGGGAACATACTGTATTTATGTACTCTACTTGAAATTATGTCTGCAGTCACATTAAACCTTTCAATTGAATCTATTTTAATTAAACTGCTTTGTAGGTTTGTGAACTTTGAAGAAATGAAAAAAAATTGTAAAATGATCTTTAAAAAAGATAATAAAAAGCTTTAAAAATACTGCCTCTAAAATCAAGAATCCGAGGTTTTTTTCAAGAAATCTCTAGATGTAATATTAAATGAGCCCCCCCCTCCCAGGGGGGCACTTGGGGGGCACCCAGCCCCCTCCCCTCGTGATGAATTAATTGGATGGTTGGTTTGACTGTGGTTTGATGTTTTGGCTGGTTGGTTGGTTGGTTTGGTAGATGGATGGTGGTTAAATGAATTGTTATTTACATGATTTGTACACTTTGAACTCCCTTACAGGCTGAAAGGGACTGAAAAATTCATACCGAGGGATTGTCTAAATTCCACTCTAATATATATTCTATTCTCTTTGTATTAAACATTAAAACGTAAAAATCGTCGTTTGAAAATTGAATACGCACAGACTGTGAATTGTTAATCTTTTTTTTTGCTTAAGACTCGTTTGTATACTGCAATTAATATTTTGTTTAAATTAATCTTATTATTTTGATCAATTAAGCAAAATGACGTGGGGGAATTTGGAATGCATAACAATGTTATTTATAAAATTTCACCTTTTGTAAAAAATTTTTTAGATTAATGCATAGTTATGTTTTATTCCGGTAATAAGGGTTTCCATTTTAAATTTTTTTCTCAAAATTTCGATGATTTTCGTAAATCAATGCAGAATACAAACCGACTGTCCCAAAAAGCAAAACAATTCGAAGACGACTTTAGCAGGGGCGGTTCTAGGATTAAGCCAGAAGGAGATGATTCATTTGGCTATTTGTCCCGTTTTGCCTAATATAGTCTGTCTTTGTACTGTACAGCTTGCTCTGACTAGTTGAAATTCGGCACAGTACATGAAATAAACTTGAGTGTACAGTGAGAAGCAATTGAGTTGCAAGGTTGAACCTGCATAAGATTTAAATTCCTAATTATGATTCTAGTGATTTTTTTATTTCTGAAAGGTCTATAATTTAAAACTATTAATTTAGCAAGTTTACAATATATAAAAGTCAAAGATCAATTTGTTCATGAGTTAATTAATAATTTGCTTTCTCTGTTCCAACTTTCTACATTGCACGAGTATAGTCTAATATAACCCAACCAGAAATGTTTCATTAACTGCAATGTAAGTTGGGAGGGTTAGTCGACAAATCGAGGTGGACACGTCGATATCATTTTACAGGATTTTAAATGGATATTTTCCACTACTAATCATAGGAAATTTTCACCTATTTATAGGGGATACACTGGATATTTTGTACTAATTATAGGGGATACGCTGGATATAGGATAGACTGGATTTTTTTCTCCTTAAATATAGAGAAGACAAAAAATAGGATATAAACTGGATATTTTGTCAGAAATAGAATATAAACTGGATCTGTAGCAAGAAATAAAATATAAATTGGATATCTTCCAAGAAATAGGCTATAAACGGGATATTTAGCAAGAAATATGACATAAACGGGATATCTTGCAAGAAATATGATAGAAATGGGACATTTTGCAAGACATGGGATATAAACTGGATATTTAGCAAGAAATACGATATAAACTGGATATTTTGCAAGAAATAGGAAATAAACTGGATAAATTGAAAGAAATAGCATATGAACTGGATATTTGCACAATAAAGAATGAAAACTGTACAGGGTGTCCCAATAAACATGGGAATTGAGAGACGACTTAAAAGTCGTCTTTGATTTTCGATATCTAATATTTAACATAAAAATGATGATGTACGTTCTACGAGCTTTTCATGAAATGGTCTTTATATCACCTTTCTCGTGTCTTACAAATTGACGAAGATATAACCTATAAAGACAAATTAGAATTATTAAAAAAATTGAAATTTGTAAAATTTTGCAATATCTTCACTAATTTTGCAATATCTTCACTAATTTTGCCATATCTTCACTAATTTTGCAATATCTTCACTAATTTTGCAATATCTTCACTAATTTTGCAATATCTTAACTAATTTTGCAATATCTTCACTAATTTTGAGGATACAAAAATGGTAAACCTCATTTTGAAAATCTCAAGACCAGGCGTTTTCGGTATTAGATGTGTAAATATTAGTGGAATACTACAACTATTGAGTTCATGAAAAAATGACGCATTGATCGAAGACGATATACAAGTGGTTACTGAATTCCCATGTTTAATAGGACACTCTGTGTTATTTGCAATATGCATAGAAACTAAACTGCAATTGTGCATCTAAATATAAATTGATATTTTTAAAGTGCATTGAAAACAAAATTTCATATGTTTTTTTTATAAACTCAATTGGTGTAACGTTTGAAACCTTTATCTGATCAATAATGTGGAAGATATTGCCATTTTTCTAGATTGAAAAGTGTTTAATTCTAACAATTTATTTCAAGGGGTTGAAGCGCAGAAATCCGCAAGTCACTTTACGGAGAAATCCAAATTGAAAAAAATCAATTTTCAAATTGAAAATCGTAGATCGAACATGGAGGGGGGGGGGGAATGGGCCGGGGAAGGGGGGAAAAGGGGGGGGGGCGGGCCTAGGATGGTCAAAATACATGTTTGAAAGCTATGGTTTCCCAGTTGCCCTGCATGAATAATTTATGGGTATAGATTGAAATTGTTTAAAAATAACCATTGTCCTCAATGTAAGTAATAACGTGTAACTTCAGGACTAACCACAAAGGATGAGACTGTAAAGACGACCGGTCCTGAAACTCTTAAAATATGTTTTTTTAGTTTATAAAATGATTTAATGAAATTTTACAGACGAATTGGGAATCTTGAATATAAGGAAAACGAAAATATTCTTTGTGGGTAACCCTATATCTAAATTACGTAAGTTTATGAGTAGACTACGTATGTATATATCAAAATTTTGAAATATATTAAAAAGTGTTTTAGGTGTTACATAAAGTGTGTAGCACTACAGAAATGTAAAATCACAGTTTTGACTAATTTACAAAAAGGTATTTTGCATTTTTTATTCAAATTCTAGAAATTTCTTAAAATGTCATTCTGCCAAACATCTAAAGCCATTTCAGTTTAAAGAAACTATAATTTTAAGCCTTCTTTCATTTCAAAATTACAATTACAAATCACAATTGTAACCTTTAAACCTTTATCTGATCAATAATGGAAAAAATATCTTCGTTTTTTTTGCTTATAAAGTATTAAGTTTTGATAGTTTCTCATTATTGTATCTGCAGAAGAAATGCGAGAGTCACTTTTGTTGAAAAAGACTATAATCGACAAACATATGAATGTCTTATTTATTCTAAACCGGACAAAGAATTTAAGTGTACTGTTGTGAATCAGACCCTTTTAGGTTAAAACATACATTTGAATGATAAAAGTATGGAAAATGTGCCTAAACTGTTTTCACATGAGCTACCCTCGGCCTTGATTTAGCGGAATAATAATGATCACATCATAAATTTAATGTGTAATAAAGAAGAAAACAATTGCGGAGTTGGAACAGGATACGGAGAAAATAATTGGATTTCAGTTTTTGACAATTTTGCTTTGACATAAATTTAAGAAAAAAATGCGTTTTGCAGACTTTTCACAAGAGATTAGAAAATGCAGCTGTTGGCAGCCATCTTGGTTTTTCCCCTCCTTGTACCGTATTCGTATGCGCTTCAGGTATTGTACAAAGAGGTGGCCATTTTTTAAACATCTTTAAAATTATTTCACATTTTAAAAAATTAATCAATTAATGCACACAACCAATATTTGTATAGATTTTTAATCTTGTTACATGAGTAAACCTCATGTCGTGGCCTGTCCGATTCAGAACATAACATTCATCTCAACAAAAATGAGAAAGTTAAAGTAGTTTTTCGTTAAATAGAAAAATAAGGACTCATCATTTATCTTTGATAACTCTACGTATGAAGGAAGGGTCACTTGAAATTAAATGTACAGTCTCCTTACACACAACACTTTAATGTTGAAACAAAACAGAGCTTTCTATTCTATTTCACCCAAATGCTTCAGTGGTTTGTAAAATTAAAGTTAAGAATTTAAGGTCATTTAAAACTTGGGTATTTTACACAGAGAACTTTTTAAATAACTAAAACAATTTTGTCTGGATCTGCTCAAATCCATTCACATAATAAGAAGAGTTGGTTATGATACAGTGAGACTCATAAAAAACTGGTGGAATATGAAGACTACGACTAAACTCAATTATGATTTTTTTACTTTATCAATTTATTTATTTTTACTTTTTCTATGATTAAATTTATCAATTATGATTTTAAATGAGCATTAAACATAGCAAGTTTGATTTTGAGGCTATGGTGTGCAATTTATAAATATTTAAAATATTTATGCTTGTCAGACTATTTCCCTCCAAATACACAAATAATTGTTTGAATGTCGTCTTCGTATTCCACAGTTTATTGGATCCCAACATACCTTTTTTTAATTTGCTCTCTTTTATTTTTTTCTCTCTAAATTTGTCAGTGCTATGAATGTAACAAAGTATCAACCAGGGGAGCATGCGATGACAAGGTGACAGGTATAAAAATTCTTATTCAATGAGTTTACTATTCATGATAATATCTTAATAACTAGACAATATATCATAGCATTTATCTCTTTGTTATATACAGCACAACAGTTCATATTATGATTTATAATTTATCAGTCAAATTGGGATCTAAAAACATGAATTTTAAACATTATTTCATTTACCAAATCTTACGTATATAGTTTTAGTATAATTTTGACAGAGTTTTATATCAATTTCTCTAGACAGGAACATTAGATAGAACTCTTATAGGTCTCGATCAAATCCTAAAATTCTTAGGTTTCAGCCTATACCCCCTTTCATTTTTCCTTTACAGTCCCTTTAAAGTTCTTGATCTAACAATATTTGTGGCAAAGACTTGATTCCAAATAAGCATACAAATTTAAAACTTATATATTTATTACTTGTAGGATCTCTTGTTACCTGTCCCAACGGAGTTACTGCCTGCGTTATTGGCAATTGTAAGTTTTGTTTACAGGGTGTCTCAATAAACATGAGATTTAAGTGACGCCATTATAAAATACTACGCTTTCTTCTATTTCACCTTTTAATTGTTGCTTAATCTTTCAGCATTTTCTCTTCTATAAAACAATAATAAGAAATTTTGTATATTTAAATTTTTTTCGTTGGATTTTTTTAATTTTGCAAAAATAAAAAATTTTTTGAAGACAATTTTTTTTAATCCATAAACATTTCCTGGGGTCATGTGAGGTCCCAGAGAAAATTGGATCTGATCGGTTCAGCCGTTTTGAAGTTTATCAGTCACAAACTTAAACAAACAGACAGTGACAAGGAAAGTATAAATGTATATAGATTATCTTTAATCCGAACCAAAGTATATATGTATATAGATTATCTTTAATCCGAACCAGTGTACTATATAACAAAATCAGTTTTAAAAAAGGGGATTGTACCGAGCTTTCTATTATTTGGTTTATACCGGTATAATCTGGTTTAAGGTATATAGGGTGGGCAATGTAGTAATTACTCTGCATCATAAAATCGATATTAGAATAAGGTGAAAAGTTGACAACCATAAAACTGTGTTAACGTTTCAAATACGATTCTAAAACGTTACGTTTCCATGTAACTATAATATAGTTTGGTTAGAAACGTTTCCTGTAGTCTGAACGTAAACCATAACTGCACAGAATGAGTTTAGCTACTGATTAAAATATATGCTTTGAAATAATATTAAATGCAGTTAAGATTTCTTTCATGTCGTCTTCCATATTCCATAGTTTTATGAGTCCCAATGTATACAGATCGAAAAAAAACAACCATAAAGTCGTCCCAATTTATTAAAATTATTCAGATTAATGTAAAAACTTTAACAAAAAGTTAAAAAACTTAATCACAGAGCCAAAAAAAATTAAACATGTAAATTCATAATTTGTAGAATTGTCTTTTATTTGGTAAATACATGGGAGTAAAGAGCTCGACCATTATTTCTGGATTTTTGTGAATTTTATTTTGATTAAGGCGACATTTGTGCCCCGCTTGCTATAATTGCTAATTTTAAACTATCTTATTACGTTGTTATATCATATTATCAGCTTCACTTGCCACAAGCAATATACTTTGCCACATGCAATATAATTTGCCACATGCAATATACTTTGCCACATGCAATATACTTTGCCACATGCAATAAACTTTGCCAGGGTTACTTTTGGCAAAAGAAACATTTACATATAAGTTATACATTATACACCGCATGAATAGCTGTATATGTAAATTCGGAACTGTGGCTTGCGTAGTCTCAAAAAATTAAAACATTGCCTATAGGGTTTCCATTATTCCAGAAAAAAAAATCCATTTTGGAAATGGAATGATCCGGAAATTTGTTCCGTAAAGTGGTATTCCAGGACAATTCCGAATGAAATGGAAACCGAAATATTTCCGGTTCAAGTACAAAATGTTCCAGAATTCCAGAACAGTGTTCCGGAAATTTTCGGATATTGATCCTGAAGTTCAGAACCTTTTTCATAATGGATATGGAAATAAATTGCGGATCATTTCTGTCTGTAAACTGTAACTCAGGAATTCCGAGTTAGGCATGTATTGCATGTACTTTATGCTGCTCAACTGTTTTCTGACACAACATTAATTACATTTATTAATAGCATATACCAGTACTGCCCCGACCTTGTACATGAGAGGGTGTACGGATCCCACCACCCCAGCCAAACCGATGGGATGTACTAGTAACGTAGCGAATGGTCTGGTAATAAAAATAAAAAATATAAATAATCAAAAAATATTTCTCAAACCTGAAACCAATTATCAAATTAAGTAAAAACTGCAAAAGACAAGGACTTTTTTCTGAATTTAATGGAATTATTGAAATATTGAATATAATGGTTAATAAAAAGTTACAAAATGAATAATAATGAGTCTTTTTTTTCAACACATTTATTTTCAGACTTCAAAGTTCTGCTATTGCTCTGCAGACAAGTGTAACGAGAACTTTGGAACAGCTGGAGCCAGCGCTGTACAGTTCTCTCTGCTGGCGGCCATCTTGTCAGCTGTTCTTATTAATCAGCTGTAAACTATTTATTCATATTCTGGCATGTGAATCTTAACACAATTTGACTTCTTAACTTCAATTTTTAATTCAATTGAAATTAATAAAGAATTGCTTTTCATGAATTTATTTCTGATATGATTGAGGATAATTTTAAACTACTTTTTCATTCCATATTTCATTTTCTCCATTTGTCCAATTCCATTATTCAATTTTTTCTTCAATTTTTCAACTTTTTATGTTTTTATTCCAATTATCAAATAGTCCATCCTCCTAATTCAATTTAAAAGTTTAACACTTCAATTACATTTTTAATACCCTTGTCGTTTATTATTATTATTTAAGTATAATTTGTATGGTTACATTTTTCACATAATTTTTCTAATTTCATGGTTTTCATATTTTTAAATTAGAATTAAATGTTAGAAAATTATAGCAATTGAAAGTTATTTTATTTATCAGTTGTATTCAGATTCTTTAAGATGAAAAAATATACTGTAGTGTAATTTTCTGGGATAGATGACATAAACACTAACATAATTGTACATTCCATGCTAAATTAAATATAGAGCTACTATTACATGTACATGTCTCATTTTGAATAACTAATGAACTGACCATTTTTCAGGCTTATGTAATCATACAGCCGAAATTATTAATAATTGAATCGAAGGATTTCTGACAATCGCGCCTCTTATTGCCCTCTGAATCATCGTGAATCGCGAACCCCAAAAAATCGAGAAGTATTTTCCCAATTACTGTTCATTTTAAACTTAAGCTACAAAAATGCGCTTTGCAATTTTAAAATATATCCAGGGCTACAAAAAAGTATAAGTGAGTTGGTGAGGTAAATCCAAAAGCGTTGCGACACTAAAAAGTCAAGGGCCCAGGCGCGCAACTAGGGGGGGGGCCAGGGGGGCCAGGCCCCCCCCTAGCCTGATTAAGGGGGGGGCATGCCCCTCCCTAAAGAAGTCTTGCCCCCCCCTGTAGGGGGGGGCAAGAAGTGACGAAGTCCACCCTGTTTTGCAATTTAGCGATTCATGAATCCTGACCCTGAGGAAATTTAAGAGCTCTTATCGTAAAATAAAAAAAGATAATTGAACGTTAGTTTATTGAGCTTATAGTTCAATCCGTATAGCACTTAATACACCATATATACACACACACAGACCCCCTTCGTCTCCGAGCCTAACTACTGCCGTAGATCAGAACAGGTTGACAAGGTTCCAAGGTGCCTTAATCTTTGTTGTTTTCATTATTCAGTTTTTTTCCTGGGAAAGGGAAAGGGGGTTTATTAAGTATTTTTTAGATATTTTCACTATCAGTTCTGCCACTTATTATGATATTGCTTTAATACTGTAGTACAACTATTAAATTAATCTTTCGGCTTCATGTTCACCGCAAATATTGTGTGATGTGTCATATTAAAAAAAATATATTTCATGTGAAATCATGAATTTTTAATGAAAGGCATTTCTTGTCAGTTTTTGAGTACAATGTACATATTTGATTTATGGATAACTAATGAAAATTTATACATATATAATATATATGTAATTTGTATTGTAAATTAATTATTTTTGTGATTTATACCAGAATCAGGGGCGGATAAAGGATTTAAGTGAGGGGGGGGGGCAAGATTTTTTAGGAAAAAAAAAATTCATAATTAGGAACCAAAAATCGCGGCACAGGCGAAAATTTTTTTTGACTTAAAAGACTCAAAAAGAGTGAAAATTAATGACAAAAGACTAAAAAACTAGATTTTTAACTTTTCACACATTATAGTTTATCAAGACAGATATTTTTCCTGTTTTGCACTAGGGTTTCTTTCCCAATTAACCATGCTATTATAGAAGCTATTCTGAAAATAGGAACAAAAAATTCCAAATTCAGGGGGGGGCGAATTCCTCCGCCTCCCCCCCTGTATCCGCCCCTGACCAGAATAGATTTCTTGTTTTATTTCATATCAGATGTGTTGACTTACTGAATATCAGGTTGGAAAGGTTAGTTTTTTATTGTTTAAGTATAAGACACATTTTTCTTGCCCCCCCCTAAAAATGTTAAGGGGGGGGCCAAAAAAATTTTTCCACCTAGCCCCCCCCTAACCAAATGTCTAGTTGCGCGCCTGGTCAAGGCTGTCAAACATTTTATAATTAACTTTCAGAGTTTTCTAGATATCAGTGCGTGATACTGCATGGCATTTTGTGCAATCTGATTGAATTCAACTTTTTTATTGATGTTTCTGATTCGTAATCTGATGAAAGGGTATCCTGTTGTCATCCTTTGTGTCAAACTTTTAAATTAAATTCATCATAGAAACTTTATTCTATTCTACTAAGTGTTCTCCGCTTTAAAACTTTTTGAATTAAAAAACTTTTGTCGAAACATGGTTAATTTAGATTTGGCTTAAACAAAATATCAACCAATTTTTTTTTACTTAATTTGATAAATCATGAGAGAAGACGTATTGCTAATATATTAATTAATCAGTAATCAGAAATTATTTGCTGAAAGAAACGAAATATTTAACGATGCAAAATTATCAATATTCGAATTGCTCTTTACAATAAATTTGTTGAAATAAAAATAAATATTCTTCGTTTGAACCACTGTGTAGGTGCATTCTATTATGATAACGATGAGAACATGAAAACTCTGGAAAACGAATACGACTTTTAGAATCAAGTTATAACTTTAAAAAGTCTAATAAGCATTAGAAACAGCAACTGTGCAGTGTAAACAGCCCCTTTTTACTATATTAGTCATTTAATAAGTGTCTAGTAAACGTATTTGCTCTCTTAAAACCATGATATACTCTTAAGTATTTCTATGATGTCGTCTTCCCCTTTGTTTTCTGGTTATCACTGTATAGTTTTATTTGATTTTAAGGATAAATATGTTGGTTCTTTAAGGGTCCTTCTTAAAAGATTTGGCAGATTTTCCTGATTTTCTGAAATAAAAATATTGATCGGCCTTCTGGACTTCCAGAGAACAAACTTCTAGGCCAAGAAGAGGACGAAATATCTAGAGAAGAAGAGGACAAACTGCCAGGACAAGAAGAGGACAATTTGTATGTACCAGAAGAGGACGAACTACCTGGACAAGAGGAGGAAGAACTGCCCGGACAAGGAGAGAACGAACTATCTGGATAAGAAGAGAAAAAGCTACCAAGACAAGAAGATGTGAAACTACCTGGAAAATAAGAGAACGAACTTCAAGCACCAGAAGAGGACGATCTATCTGTATAAGGAGATGAAGAACTATCTGGATAAGAATAGGAGAAAATACAAGGAGAAGAGGACAAACTATTTGGATGAGAAAGAACACACAACATGGACAAGAAGATGTAAAACAAACTACATAGACAAGACGAGGACGAACTATCTGGACAATGACAAGAAGAGGAAGAACTACCTGGACAAGAGGAGGAAGAACTCTCTGGACAAGAAGAGGACGAACTACCAGGACAAGAAGAGGACGAACTACCAGGACAAGAAGAGATTGAACTATCTAGACAAGAAGAGGACAAACTACCTGAATAAGAAGAGGACAAACTTCCAGGACAAGAAAAGGACGAACTATCTGGACAAGAGGGGGACAAACTATCTGGACAAAAAGAGGACGAAATACCAGGACAAGAGGGGGAAGAACTATCTGGACAAAAAGAAGAGGAACTACCGGAACAAGAAGAGGACGAACTACCAGGAAAAAAAGAGAACGAACTACCTGGACAAGAAGAGGACGAACTTCAAGGACACGACGAGGACGAACTACTAGGACAAAAAGATGACGATTTATCTGTACAAGACGAGGACGAACTACCTGGACAAGAGGAGGAAGAACTACCTTGACAATAAGAGGACAAGCAATTTCGACAAGAACATTAAAAATATCTGGAAGAGACGAGGACGAACTATCGAGACAAGAAGAGGTCAAACTACCTGGACAAGAGGAGAAAAAACTACCAGGACAATGAGACGCAGGAACGTTTTTGAACAAGAAAAAGATCATTGCTAGGACAAGAAGACACAAAGAAGCGGAACAAGAATTGACAAACCTGGATCTAGTTTTCAGATCTGTGATCTATCCCTTTTCCAAGTTATTGCTGGTTCAGAATTAGAATGAAAGTTGGAAGTATTTGTTTTCATTAGGACAGGTTCAGAGGCTGGGACTAGAGGATAGACTGTCCAATTTTAAATTTTAAATTCCGGTGTGTTTCTAGTCAATATATTCAGGGTGACACTTTAACAGTTCCAACAGCTTCTATTTTAAAACTTGGAAATATAAATGTAGAAGAGAAAAAAATGTGAAGTGAGTAAAGAAAGTAAGTTTTAGCTTGTTTTTAAGCCGAAAGAGACAAAAATACGAGAGAAAAAAAAAACCCACTACGAGTTGAATTCCAGCTTTATAACTCTGTCCGGTGATTTTTTGTACCACTGTGGACTGATGAGATGAATGTTGGGTTTGTACCACTGTGGAGGTGAATATTAGTCTGTTACCATTATAATTTAGTTTTGTATTTCTGTGATTTAGTTCTAGTTTTATACCACTGTGATTGATATCTTGTTCTGTACGGTGTACCCCTATAATTGAGTTCTAGTTTTGTACCCTTTTGATTAAGTTGTAGTTTTGTACCACTGTGAGTTAATACTAGTTTTGTACCCTTTTGATTGAGTTCTAGTTCTGTACCCATGCGATTGAGTTATCGTTTTTGACCCCTGTGATTGAGTTCTAGTTTTGTACCACTGTGATTGAGTTCTAGTTTTGTACCACTGTGACTGAGTTCTAGTTTTGTACCATTGTGATTGAGATTTAGTTTTGCACCACTGGGATTGTGTTATAGTTTTGTACCACCGTGATTGAGGACTAGTTTTTTACCACTGTGATTGTGTTCTAGCTTTGTACCATTGTGATTGAGATTTAGTTTTGCACCATTGTGATTGTTTTCTAGTTTTGTACCACTGTGATTGAGAACTAGTTTTGTACCTCTGTGGACAAGAATTCAAATATTTAGTTCGTTTAAAATGGTAATTTGTCTTGATTCAAGGGATTGATTTAATCCTTTAGATAATAGATTCCAGGATATATACAGGGTGTCCTGTATTCCAGGATATTTACAGTGTGTTCAGTATTCCAGGATATATACAGGGTGTTCTGTATTCCAGAATATATACAGGGTGTCATGTATTCCAAGATATATACAGGGTGTCCAGTATTCCAGGATATATACAGGGTGTCATGTATTACAGGATATATACAGGGTGTCCAGTATTCCAGGATATATACAGGGTTTCATGTATTCCAGGATATATACAGGGTGTCCAGTATTCCAGGATATATACAGGGTTTCATGTATTCCAGAATATATACAGGGTGTCCAGTATTCCAGGATATATACAGGGTTTCATGTATTCCAGGATATATACAGGGTGTCCAGTATTCCAGGATATATACAGGGTTTCATGTATTCCAGAATATATACAGGGTGTCCTGTATTCCAGGATATATACAGGGTGTTCTGTATTCCAGAAAATATACAGGGTGTCATGTATTCCAGGATATATACAAGGTGTCCAGTATTCCAGGATATATACAGGGTGTCCAGTGTTCCAGGATATATACAGGGTGTCATGTATTCCAGGATATATACAAGGTGTCCAGTATTCCAGGATATATACAGGGTGTCCAGTATTCCAGGATATATACAGGGTGTCATGTATTCCAGGATATATACAAGGTGTCCAGTATTCCAGGATATATACAGGGTGTCCAGTATTCCAGGATATATACAGGGTGTCATGTATTCCAGGATATATACAAGGTGTCCAGTATTCCAGGATATATACAGGGTGTCCAGTATTCCAGGATATATACAGGGTGTCATGTATTCCAGGATATATACAGGGTGTCCAGTATTCCAGGATATATACAGGGTGTCCAGTATTCCAGGATATATACAGGGTGTCATGTATTCCAGGATATATACAGGGTGTCCAGTATTCCAGGATATATACAGGGTGTCCAGTATTCCAGGATATATACAGGGTGTCCTGTATTCCAGGATATATACAGGGTGTTCTGTATTCCAGAATATATACAGGGTGTCATGTATTCCAGAATATATACAGAGTGTCCTGTATTCTAGGATATATCCAGGGTGTCCAGTATTCAGGATATACACAGTGTGTCCTGTATTCCAGGATATATATAGGGTGTCTTTATTCCAGGATATATACAGGGTGTCCTGCATTCCAGGATATTTACAGGTTTTCCTGTATTTCAGGATATTTATAGATTGTCCTGTATACCAGGATATATACAGGGTGTCCTGTATCTAGGATATGAACAGGGTGTCCTGTATTTCAGGATATTTACAGGGTTTCCCGTATTCCAGGACATATACAGGGGGTCCTGTAATCCTGTCCTGTATTCCAGGATAAATACAAGGTGTCCTGTATTCCAGGATATATACAGGGTGTTCCCTTTCCCATATAAAATTTTGCACAATTTTGTGTGATTAAAAAGAAATTTTAAAAAATTCTTTATCATTTTTTCTTAAATTCTGCGTGAACATATCTTGACATATTGTATAGTATGCCGCAGCGCGCTTAAGTCAAGACCAAGTTTCTCGAAAAAGTCTTTTGTAAATATCCCAAAAGAAATAAAATTCTTGTTTTGGCTTTATTTCAAGTACATATAGTCATTTGGAACTTCAATGTCAAATTTTTTGTGGCACTTTCTTATCATTGAAAAATTAATTTTCTGGCCTTCACGATACGATAGAATCCAGCCAATAGATATAATTTTATATATGAAACAATAGATATAATTTTATACAGTAAAACCCTTAATAACGAATACATCGAAAGAATTCATCAAATGTCGTATTCTTCACTTTCTGATAATATGGAATGTTGCATGATATTTATAGTTTTTTTAATTAAATGATTATATGGAACTCTTTAAAACTGTTCCCGAATATTCATGGCTATTTATTTATTTTCGCAAATACCGAAATTTACGTAATATAGTATAAAACTCATTGAAAAATTGTCAAGACGATATTTGATAGATTCTTCCGATGTATTCGTTATTAAGGGTTTCACTGTATATGAAACAATCTATATATAAATTTGGCTTGTCTTGGTGGTTGTTTGTTTGTCTGTCTGTTTGTTTGTATCCAATAAACGTCAAAACGGCTGAACCGATCAGGCCCAAATTTTTTGTGGGACATCCTAGGGACCCCAGGGAAGGTTTATGAATGATTAAAATTTTAAATATTTGTCTCCATCAAAATTCGATCGTCATTAAATTTTTTTAAATTTTGAAAATCCGCAAAAATTTTTGTGAAAATCCGCGTTTTATTTTTGTTTTGTTTTACGATGTACACAAAGAGAACATGTTCACAATATATTTAGAAGATGGGCGCGAAGCGCCCTCTAAGGCTAGTAGATATAATTTTATATATGAAACAGATTTTCATTTGGCTCTGCTGATTTCCACCCATGCATGTTTTGTTTAAGTGTACATGCCAATTTAGATATGTTTATTTGCATCTAAACTATTGTTAATAAAACAACAAGCATTAAAGAATATCTTCACAACATGTTTTCTTAGAGTATGAAGAGAAGACCAGAGTAATGATGATTACTGAATACTGATCCCCCAGCAGTTTACAAGATGTATTCTGAGAGTATGAAGAGTGTCAGAGTGGAAAGAAGACCCAGAGTATTGATGATTACTGATCCTCCAGCAGTTTACAAGATGTATTCTGAGAGTATGAAGAGTGTCAGAGTAGAGACAAGACCCAGAGTATAAATGATTACTGATCCCCCAGCAGTTTACAAGATGCATTCTTAGAGTATTAAGAGTGTGAGAGTAGAAAGAAGATACAGAGTATTGATGATTACTGATCCTCCAGCAGGTTACAGATGTATTCTGAGAGTATGAAAAGTGTCAGAGTGGAGAAAAGACCCAGAGTATTGATGATTACTGATCCTCCAGCAGTTTACAAGATGTATTCTGAGAGTATGAAGAGTGTCAGAGTGGAGAGAAGACCCAGAGTATTGATGATTACTGAGCCTCCAGCAGTGGTCCAGTTCTCATTACACAGATCCCCAGCACAGTTACAAAACCGAAACTTCTACAAATATAAAATCAAAAAACAAATATCTGCAAGATAGTGTTCGCAAAAAAGAAGAAATAATGATTAATCGTTTCTCATTTTTCTTTTTATGAAGTGAATGAATTAAATTGACAAAGCGATTTTAACTTTTTTATTTATGTTTCCAGCTTAGATTGTCATGTTATTATTGGTAAAAAGAATTGAGTCGTTGTCACAAGACACAAACTATGATTTTCTAATCTAAATATCTTTGCAACCATGACCAGGTGGAAAAAATATAGGTATTAGAAAATCAGAGTTTCTTACAAAAACTCAATTCCTTTGGGTCTATAATCTAGAAGCCATTTAAATCTGTATTTAAAATCTAAAATTTTAGGATTAAAATTTAAGGACATGAACGTAGTGTTTGTCTAGACATGGTAGTTGAGATGAGAATGCAGTATTGTAGAGACCTATTTTAGGATTCATTTGAGACCTTTTAGAAGTTTTTACGGTGAATATTTGTTCTGCAAGTGCGCCAATTCAATCTTTAAAATCCTCATAGATTGTCCATTTTGAAGGGATACATTTGAGAATCCTTTTTTTTAAATTATTCAATGGCGACCATAAAAACATATTACAAATGTTCAACAGAAAGCTAATTGTTGTTAACCCTATTCCTGCTGGGGACAAGAANAATATATCGTAAATATATTGCAGGTAACTCCTCTGATTAAAGGGAGTGACCGGCAATGTATGGTAGTTAAGCTGAGAATTTTTTAGGGATGATTTTGAGAATCGTTTTTTATAAAATTATTCAATAACGACGACGAAAAATGTAGCAAAAATTCTACAGTAAAATAAGAAGTTGTTTATAAAGGAACAGATTGAGAAATAAATTATATATTATCATTGAAAATAACTATTCTTTTACAGTTATTGGTTTCTGTAATGTATTCTTGTTTACAAACATGTTCTGTAGATTTCCTGGAATTTCAATTGAAAAGACAACATTTGAAGAATTTGAAGAAATCTGCGAACAAATTCATAGATAATAAGAATTTCATTTTAAAGATGAAAAAGACATAATTGATTCTAAAATCGATATTTCTTTTGAGAAATATGTTCCGAAACATTTAATTATTTTACTGTAAAATTTTTATTCTATTTTTCGTCGTCGTTATTGAATAATTTTTAAAAAACAGATTCTCAAAATCATTTCTCCAAATTGAGTAATCTATGAGGATTATAAAGATTGAATTTGCACTCTTTCTGAAAAAATATGCACCGTAAAAATGTCTCGAAGGTCTCAAATAAATCCTATACATTTCAACAATACTGCATTCTCAGCTCAACCACCATGTCTAGCCTTAATTACACCCCCCTTTATGTCGAAATCTCATACCTTTAAATTATAAAATTTTGGGTTTTCTTTGAAGAATGTAATTTTAAAGATTATGACTCCCTTCCCGTGATTTAAATCCAAGCTTACCTCCCTGATTACAATATACAAATATTGGTTATAATCTTGTTAATCGTTTTGTAATGTTCGTAAAAACCTTTTAAACATTTATTTTAATATCTTCGTTTTAGGGTCGTTTTTGGTTCGTTTTAAGGTCGTTTTAGGGTGGTTTTAGGGTCGTTTTCGGTTCGTTTTTTGTATATATTTTCCGTCAGAGCTGAGTCAAAGTCTAAAAATCAAATGTTTAGAATAAAAACTTTAAAACATTTTATTCCTGGCACTATGGCAAAAAATATGCAAAATATGAACTAAGGTAAGATGCGTTGCTATTTCTAATTTTAGGTCTGTTAACTATTCAGCTAGTAGCTACACAGTGAACCAACAGAGAAAACTTGATAAAAAAGTTTTAAAAATCTAGAAGTTAACCTCGCCATTTTGATCCTCTTCCTTGCATGACATCTCCACTGTGTTTTCCGCCACAATACATTCACGAACATATACCGTGTTGCCGGATATTGATGCTGAATATTCAATATTACCCCCTCTCATACTCATACTCCCACACCATTTTAAACCAATTAGCTGTCATCTTTTCACACCCCCTCACTCTTTAGCCCCCTTCCCCAGATTTTCTCAAGACCCAGTCGCGTCCCCGTTCCGTTATGGGACTTTGCACAGCTCTTTGAAGCCTCTCTACAAACCAAAACTAACAACTTTTTTTGCACAATTGTTTTATTTTGCAATTTTCTCACTTTGTTTTCCCTGGTGTTTTACCTAGTTCAGTTTCAGAACACTTGTCCGCGGCAGAATTACAGACATAGCACTAAACAATTTAAATCAAATTAAGTTTTTTTTCCAAAGATTTTAATTTTCTAATTCATATTTCTTTTCAACGGTAATTGCAGACTTTGGTATTTCAGCTTAATCTGACAGAATCGTACTTTGAACTATCAAAGGTCTACGACATCGGGTTGCAAAGATATTGGGAACAGAAAATTTAAATTTGTTGCAAAAACGCAATACCAATTGTATTTGAACGGATAACAAAAGGCAAATAATAAAATCAAAAAACGGACTGTAGATCTAATTTCAAGTGACCCTCCATTAAAAAAGTTACTATATCCCATTTATATGCGATTCCATTAGCGCCTGATCCAATCAGGGTTCAGACATGTGTTCGGTGTTTATTCTGAACCAATAGAAATTGCTTGGCAGTATCATCTATCTTTCTATCTATCTCATCATCCAATTAGAGATGAATCCTTTAATTGGCGCTAAACAGTAAATGGAAAGTAAAGTGACCAATTCACGCATTCCTTTCAACCTTTATATAGAATAACAATGGGAAAGATGTTTTGATATAAACTGCATAAACTGCATAAACTGCATAAACTGCATAAACTGTATAAATTGCATAAACTGCATGAACTGCATAAACTGCATAACCTGCATAAACTGCATAAACTGCAAAAACTGCATAAACTGCATAAACTGTATAAACTGCAAAAACTGCATAAACTGCAAAAAACTGCATAAATTGCATACATTGCATAAACTGCATAAACTGCATAAACTGCATAAACTGCATAAACTGCATAAATGCATAAACTGCATAAACTGCATAAACTGCATAAACTGCATAAACTTCATTAACTGCATAAAATGCATAAACTGCATAAACTGTATGTAATGTATTGTAATGTATTGTATTGTAATGTAAGGTATTGCAATGTATAGTAATGTATTGTAACGTATTGTAATGTATTGTAATGTATTGTAACTAGAAATTCAAGGCGCTTCGCGCCCTTCTTTCTAGCCTTAGAGGGCGCTTCGCGCCCATCTTCTAAATTAGTGGTGAACATGTTCTCTTTGTGTACATCGTAAAACAAAACAAAAAATAATTCGCGGATTTTCACAAAAAATTTCGCGGATTTTCAAAATTTTTAAAAATTTAATGACGATCGAATTTTGATAGAGACAAATATTTGAAATTTTATTTTTTCATAAACCTTCTCTGGGGTCCTTAGATGTCCCACAAAAAATTTGGGCCCGATCGGTTCAGCCGTTTTGACGTTTATTGGATACAAACAAACAAACAAACAAACAGACAAACAGACAGACAGACAAGCCAAATTTATATATAGATGTATTGTAATGTATTGTAATGTATTGTAATGTATTGTAATGTATTGTAATGTATTGTAATGTATTGTAATGTATTGTAATGTATTGTTATGTATTGTTATGTATTATAATGTATTGTAATGTATTGTAATGTATTGCAATGTATACTAATGTAATGTATTGTAATGTATTGTAATGCATTGTAATGTATTGTAATGTATTGTAATGTATTGTAATGTATTGTAATGTATTGTAATGTATTGTAATGTATTGTAATGTATTTTAATGTATTTTAATGTATTGCAATGTAATGCAATGTAATGTAATGTATTGTAATATATAGTAATGTATTTTAATGTTTTGTAATGTATTGTAATATATAGTAATGTATTGTAATGAAATCAATATTAGCCCACTTAAAGGAATTAAGTCATTGCCACAAACTCAAATTTTCATATTCATATATCTTTGCAGCCCATTGTCGCAGGCCTTTGCTAATTCAGACTCACAATGTCAATTCTGTGAGATCAAATAATCATAGTTTGAAGTATAAAAGGTATACTTCATCAGGTTGCAAGGATACAAGGATTAGAACTTGAGTTTGTGAAAAAGACTCAATTCCATTACTTCGACAGTCCCTGGCAGTTTGAAAGTTTATTCATCCAGAGATGGAATTTAAAGAATTTAAGCCGCGGTTTAAATCTGCCAAAACCCGGTTTAAATTAAGCGCCGGCTTAAATCTTGAAACATTTGATGCAATTTTAAGTGGAACCAACCATATTTAAGCCTCGGCTTAAATTTAAACAGCCGCTCAAATTCTTTAAATTCGGCCACAGAGCTGGGAACTTTAGAATTAGATATCCTTAATCCTGATCGGTTAATTAATCTGGAGATTAATAACAAGAGGAGAACAATTATTATTTAATCTGGAGATTAAGGAAAAGGAAATCAAGCATTAATCCCGATATCCACCATTCAAAAGTTCCCAGCTCAGACAAATTAATATTTGCATGACAAGATTCTTTAATAAGGTTGGTTACTTTCAATGCACTCCAATGTCCGCAAAATGTCGTCTCCAGCCTAGCATATAGATAGAATCCACATATGTCGTCTCCAGCCTAGCATATAGATAGAATCCACATATGACTTCACGCTCGTCTCTAGCTATAATCATAATAACGTCATATGCAGATTCTATCTGTCTATGCTAAGAAGACGACGTTTTTCGATACATATTGGTGAGCATCAAGAGCAACCCACCTTATTAAAGAACCTTGGTTCATGATAATATCTCCAACCTGTTTAGCCAGTGTAGAACCACAAAGGAATAACAAAAGAAGGATTGAAGTGGGGTTCATTGTTGATATTAGTCTTGTAACTGCAGCAGAGCTATCACCCTCCTCCATATATAGAGAATACAGTGGGTGTTTTTAACCACAACAAGTTAAAAGACACTAGAACTTATTAAAGAGACTGTAGACTTAGTTTCAGATAAAATTTCTCAATATTTCCTTCCTTTTCTTGTTGTATAAATCCGTTAGTAACTTTTAAAGAGAACCGCAATTTAGAATAATCAATTTTGAGACTGAAAAACACGGATTCTCAATCATTTTTGACAAGATTGAACGGTTGTGAATCGGACCTCCCTCTCTTTAATGCATTGTAGAGTCACTAGAAATTATGTTTTACACTCCCTTTAGTTATTACACAATTTTGAAAAACTCTAATTATGTAAAAATGTGAATGTTAGGAAAATTACACAATTTAAAAAGTATACAATATTGTGATAGAAACCACAAGTAAAAACATTATAAATATTTATATTTAAAATTCGGTGAAGAATGAATAGTAAATAAAGTAGATGTTATTTCCACATTTTATTAAAAATATACTTCGGTCTGGGTTGACCCTCGTCAGTTCTTGAGATTGTTTCTGTCATGAAGATTGAAAACAAACTGTGTAAATGTATAGATATTTATCATTTTAAACTGTTAACGTTAAATAGGGATTTGTCCGATCTACAACGACACCCTTTATCTGAGTAACAATGTGAGAAATATTGTCGTTTTATCGTAAAATGGGTTGAATTCTAATAATTTCCTTCATTAACTCTGCTGCATAAGTCCGCAAATCCCATTTTAAGAGAATCAATAATTTGAAATAATCAATTTTCGGACGGGAACCAAAAAAGATACAATTATTGGTGTTACACTAGTTGATTTGGTTTTAAACCATTTAAAAAATAAAATAAGAAACATATTTCAAAACTGTATGTTCATATATGTTGCTTTAATAACATTATAAAAAATGTTGACTCTAACACATGATACAGAGGGTTTATAAATTGTTCGTTAAAACATTATTTATCCTTGAGTTTCATTTGTTTGGGCTTATTCGTATGTATCGAACTGTTGTGTAAAATCGAAGGTTTTTGATCTGAAGGCACAAAAAACAAAGGAACAAAGAATGAAAGAGGTGGCAACCTTACAAGCTCGGTGTAAACTAAAATAAGAAGGAGAAGGTCAAATTAAATCGACATTAAAAGTACGACTTTGTGACCTCGTAGCACCTCTGGTTTTGTTTTTACCTATAGACGTATATGAAAAGTTATCCGGCTACATATAACCCTTTAAAAAGATTAGTTATGATTAAAAACAAACAAGATTTCATTGCTACGTGGGATTTACGTTATTTTAACGTGATATCTCCTTTATTCTGGGTTATACTTAGTATTCAGGAGGAAACCCTCTTATCTTATTTATTGTTTCCTTTCTTCTTCTTCAAGCTTTCTACAAACTTACATTAATTTATTACAAGTACATATATTCTAACTATAAGCTTAAAACAAAGTTATAAAAACAAATTGTGAAATAAGAGTCTATATTTAAGAAAACGGGATTGAAATTGTGAAATAAAAAGTCTATATTTAAGAAAACGGGATTGAAATTGTGAAATAAGAAGTCTATATTTAAGAAAACGGGATCGAAATTGTGAAATAAAAAGTCTATATTTAAGAAAACGGGATTGAAATATAAAGTCTATATTTAAGAAAACGGGATTGAAGTTGAACAAATGAAATATCTCCGAGTTTTGTAATTACTTTACTACTTTACCGTTTTAGAAAGTTGGCTTGGGTCACCCAAGTGGGTGGCGTTGTAAGAGCTGATTATTTTGTTCCCTATATCTTTGCTAGATGAGTGTGTAAACATTTGACATTTCAAACTTAGACTTATTGATCTAAAGTTTGAAATATTAAACGATCCATGATCGAAATTAGGTTACAAAGATATAGGGAATAAAGAATCAGAGTTTTTATTTGTAAAAAAGCTCAGTTCCTAGAGAAAAGGTGGGATGGAATAATATCCCATCTCGAAGCTTTCTTTTAACAGTTAAAGATAAAGGTGGACTCAGGTGATGGGCTCTTGGGATTGAGCCCCCTCCGGAATCTGAAAAATCTATGGTTTCCAGGTTTTTTTGGGGCCCTAATGTGTGCTGAGCCCCTGCCCGTAGAAGAAAAAAAATTAAGCCCCTTCATAACCTACGTTACATTGCAGCAATAGTTGAACCCAGCTAAGTTTTTCTTCAAAACCACATAAGCTCAAAAACGTGATAAAAAGTAGAATAGATTTTAGGATCCATGTACACATTGATATATAAAATATTCAGTAGAGAAGTATATTATTTCGTTTTAAGTTATTTATGTGACTAAGCAGTTTTACATAAACAATAAAATAAATATTAGAATAAAACAATTCAATTTAGTAAAATCTAGGGATTTGGTTCAATTTGCATATTATTAACATATTTTTATGTACAGTGAATTAAATAAACATAATAATAGTGCAAGGTATACATAATCTTATATATCATCATTATTAAACTTTATATTTTTAATTCGTGCCTTTTAAATTGAAGAGATAAGGTTCCATGTACATACTCTACTTTATTTCATTTAAATTCTTATATCTATATATATATTTATTTAAAGTTGTTATCTCTGTTTGTCTGTCTGTCTGTTTGTTTGTCCTAAAATAAATCAGAAACCCCTGGACCGATTTGCCTCAAATTTTGATTGAGGAACTCGGGAGACCCAATGGAATGTTCTTGGCTTAAGTCTGAGATTCTAAGTTAAAAGCGAGAATTTAGTTTTCCGGTAAAATCGTTCAAGTGGTGGTAAACGGCGGAGTAGCTTTTAGTAACTTGGGCAGCGCTGGATTCCCATGCTAGTTTTATATAAAACTAGCTGAAGTGCCTGGCGTTGCCTGTTTAATTCTCTTAAAATCGAATTTTGAAGAAAAAGATTGAATTTTAAAAATTTTTTTTTGATTTCTAAAAAATATTTAATTTCAGCCCATTCAGTCCAGCCGTTTGGCCAGCTAAAGCTGACTTAGAAATATATCTGCATAAAAATATATATATATATATGAGCGAAGAGCATTATTATATAGATGAAAAATGTATTTCAACAATCAATTCTCCTGAAAGACATTAACTCCCAGTAAGGGCAGAAGAAGATCTCTTAGGTCTCCTTGGTTTTCATAATCTAATTGACTTGGAACACCTTGCCTGCAAATAGAAAAGAATAAAAAAAAAAAACTTTAAATTATATTATTAAATATGTGATTTACTTACCATTGAAAATTTAAATCAAGATTTTTGTTTTTGATTTCTCTGTGAACAATTCTTTGTTGAAGTTCTGAAACTTTTACACAGGACCACACGTGAAGACTTTCTAACCGGTTTTCAGCTGACAACAGATCCAATATGGCGGACAAACTTATCCTATTTAATAAATTGTTGTTCTAATGATGACCATCATTTTTAGGTTATTATTTGTCCTCAAACTAAAACAAATTATAAAAACAAATGTTTGAGAGGAAACTGTGATTGAAATAATTGAAAATATTGAGAATAACTTTAAAAGAGATGTGCGACGTGCGCTTTCATTTTTTGTTCAATTCGTTCATTATCCTTCGTTAACGACCCATTTTGCGTTTTTTTCAGTTGCTCAGAAAATTTGTTCGTTTTCATAATTATCGTTTATTTTTCATCTATTTCGTTCGTTTTCTAACTGAACAATTGTTTGATTAAATTGTTTGTTCAGTGAGAACGTTCTTTCTGTAAGTTTGATAATAAATTCGTTTGTTAAATAAACAAAACTACATGATTTCTTTAACTTCGTTCTACCAAACGATTTAGAAATAGATTATTACCGGTCTGACAGATGTGACCAATTGTTAACAATTTTAAAACGTTTGTCTCTTCATTTGTTCACGAACAATTTTGTTTTGTTTGTAAAAATTTTGTTCGTTCTAAAAATAAATTACCTGTGGCAACATTCAATACTTAAGGAAGATAATTTTATCAAGTTTCTTCTTTCTATTTCTTCTTTTATTAGTTCATCTGTGAGACAGTCTAAGTTTTGCAGGTACAAAACTAAACAAATTTCCGAAAATACAGACATTCTTATTTATTCTCAATAAACTATTTAAAATCCATTTGCGAGGGGGTGGGGAGGTATTCTCCTTCCCTTCATATTCAACCGGTAAAAACAAACGTTTTTGACCCCTTGAGAAATCTTTTAGACTGCCGAGTTTAGGTTTTGACGACATAAACCAAATGCAACTTAAAAAAGATGTATCGCAATCTAAAATTTAGCAATCCTAATAGCTTTGCAACTTGATAGTGGAAAACTTTGCTATTTCAAGTTTAGACTATTTGATATAGCAGAATTTATAGTTTGAAATATTAAGGGTCTACAACAACGGGTTGCAAAGATATAGAAATTAGAAATTTGGAGTTTGTGACAAGAACTCAGTTTCTTTAAGATTTTCTTGTAGATTCTTCCAACATAAAACACACTTTTCTGAAGAAATTTTCCAATTAACATCATTAAATTCAAAATCTACAATATATGAATGTTTAAGTATTAATAAAATGAAAACTTAGTTTGACTAAGGAATTTTGTTTTGTCACAAGCTCAGATTTTCTAATCCCTATATCTTTGCAACCCTATGTCGTAGACCATTCTGTATGATTAGATAGTGTAGGTTAGAAACATCAAAAATATAGGGAGGAGCAAATTTGAGTTTGTGGCAAAAACTCAATTCCTATCACCCAGAAATTTTGGAGACCTGAAATATTTGGCGACGAAAGAATATATTTAAGGTAAGATGGCTGAAAGTAGGAGTCCGGAGAGTTAAAGATAAATATTTTCTCCAGGTGTAGTAATCTCGTTCTATTTTAAATATCTGTTCAATGTTCATTTTAATCTTGTATTCTGGGGGTCTGATTTAAAAGTAAAGGCATAATTTTAACACCATAAAGACACTGCATCAACATAAGTTTTTGTATAACATTCTATTCAAAGAGTCCAGCTGACAAGAATAGCAATTCTGAATTGAACCTTCTCGCCCAATTTACAACGCGATTTTTTAAAGACCGTCGCATAAAAATAAATGATGAAGATTTTCCTATTTTTCTTTTAGAAAATTGAAACTTTTCAACTGTGGTGTCTCCTTAAAATTTACTTGTGAGTTGTGGATCCATGCAGCAGAAAGAAAGAATAAAATTGACTGAATTCAAAACGTTTGAAAATAAAACAACGACAATATATTTCTCATAAAAAAAGATTATCATTAGAATATGCGACTAGGGGACTATGAAGCCCTGAACAGAACTAAAAAAGATTATTATTAGCGTGATTAGAATATAAAACTAGGAGACTATGAAGCCCTGAACAGAACTATCCTGATGGTTGAGGTTTGGTTGTGTAAGAATGAACACCTGGAGAAGGTTAGAACCTCAAGATTACAGCAAACACTTCCTGAATATTTACAACTTTCCAGCAACAATTATATTTTTATATCATTGTCGATCTATTGGTGAACAAAAATGAAAAGGAAAAGACCAAAAAATCTTTTTAAAAGTTATATGAAAAAGTGTTTTTTGAAATAAGTTATGGATCTTGATAAATTAAGAAAAAATTAAAAAATTACCATTCACAAAAAAAGGTTTTTTAAAGAGTTTTAATGAATAAAAAAGAAAAAATTACCGATAACATAAATATCGCAATCAATCACGTTTTCTAAATTTAATTGGGTCAACAGCTTCCCTAACGAAATAAATTTTCATGAATTAAAAAAAATGAAGAAAAAATTATTTGCCAATAATAATTTTTTGGAACTAACAAAAAAATTTTCTAAAAGATATGTTTTCTGAAAAATTATCCACATTAAAACGATAATCAACTTGAGGCCGAATTTGAGCCGCGACTTAAATGTAAGAAAGGGCTTAAATATGGTTGGTTCCACTTGAAACTGTATTTAGTTTTTCAAGATTTAAGCCGGCGCTCAATCAATTGAAACCGGTTTTTTAGGGATCTAAGACGCGGCTAAATTCATAAAATTTGGACAATGGACATTTGTTTTACTTTCAACAGATGATTCCCCTAACAAAGAAATAAACTGAGTTTTAGCCACAAACTAAAATTTTCTATTTCCTATATCCCTGCTCGTGTAAACCTTAGATAATTTAAACTTTTTGATCTAATAGAATTCATAGTTAAAAATAATAATAATAATATGATTGATCCTGAAATACCATGTACATTATAAATAATATATTACCCTGTGAAAGAAAAATGCCTAGAAGGGTAGAAAAGTTGGTTTGATTTCTAGCACTTAGTTCTAGTTTATTTAATGATTTTAGCATTGATACTCCCTCAATCAGTTCGAAGCTCAGTATGCTGTAGAAAACAAAAAGATTTTGTTAAAGGAACTACGTTAGCGTAATTTAAAGTGATCCTTTTTTTGTTTTTTTTTAAAGTGTTTTTTAGAGTTTCTCAATTACAGTGCAACGGTGTAAATCGGCACTGCTATCTTTGCATTGAGGGTCACTTGAAATTACGCTTACAGTTCCTTTAAAAAGATAAAAGATATTTCATCAATTTTTTGTTGAAACTTAATGAAACCTAATGAAACCTAATGATTAAATTGAGTTAAATGATGATTCTACTGAGTACTGCAGTAAAATAAAAAATGGAAGGCCATGATAGATTATTGGGGTTATCCCTATCAAGACAGGGGCGAGGGGGGAGGAGAAGGGGGGTTATTGCTCCCTTCGTTTCATGACAGGGGCGAGGGGAGAAGAAGGAGGGTTAGTGCTCCCTTCGTTTCATGACAGGGGCGATGCTCCTATCGTTTCATTACAGTGGCGAGAGGGAAGGAGTGCTCCCTTCGTTTCATGACAGGGGCGAGGGGGAGAAGAAGGAGGGTTAGTGCTCCCTTCGTTTCATGACTGGGGCGAGGGGGAGAAGAAGGAGGGTTAGTGCTCCCTTCGTTTCATTTTTGAATTTATCGCGTTGAATATTTTAACTTTAAGAAAAATTTTAATCAAATTTTTGATATAATGGAAACCAACATTATTCTATTCTGCTTTATTTGTTTTCTGTTTGTATCCCTGTTTTCTATTGAAAGTGCTTGAAGGTGAGGACAGTGATGAAGATGTTCTCCAAGCTGAACACCTTCTTCTACATCTACACCACATACACTACACAAGTCAGAGATGTTCCTCAGTTTTATCAATTAGATTTGGAAAAAAAATTTACTTCTTGAGATTAGGACAGTTGTATGTTACCAAAGGGCAATGATTTCTAGGGGGNCCGGGGGGGGCAAGAAAAAAGCGTATTATGCTCAACCATAAAAAAAATTTCTATATTTGGGTGCATTCATTCAGTTTTGGCCACATTTGTGTGGGAAAAACCTTAAACAATAGTTTTGGGAGAAAATATTTTTAGTTTGGGGAAATCTCAAATCTTTGTTTTTGGGACAACATTTATTTTTGAGGGGCTTATTTCAGTTTGGTCAATTTTGTGTATGGGAAATCTTAAATCTTTATTTTGGGTGTTAAATTTTTCTATTTAAGGGCATTTAAAAAAAATATAAAATGGGCATTTTTTTAAATAAGAATTATTTTTTTGTTGGGTGCAAAACTTCTTAATTTTTTAGCATTATCAAAATAAAATAAGGGGCATTTTTTTTTAGATATGGCTATACATTTTAAAGTTGGTTGTATTTATAAAACATTTGGATTAAAAGGTGCAGAAAAGGTTAAGAATATTTGGTGGCATTCTAAAATAAACAAGGGTTACAAATGTTTAATGAAGGGGCAAAATTAAGTCTGGTGCAGGGGGAATAAGAATAAGAATGTGTGAGTTTAATTTAAAAAATCCAAATTTTGAGGCATTTTTTAAAGAAAGGGGGAAAATAAAAAAGAATCCGAGATTATTTTTCAAAACAAACTAAATTTCTAATTTGAAAAATGAACATTAGTAGATAGTAATTTACTATCTAAATGCCGGAAATATTCATGTAACATCTTCCTTAATTTTGTAAGCGCAAAGCAGTTGGAAGGTTTAAGTAAGAACACCTAGAAAAGAACAAATTCAATTCATTTCATGTGTTCCTAGGTATATGCAAATACTGACATTTAAAATTAATTCCAATTTTAGTATTTTGATATTTTTTTAACTCAGTTTTAATTGAATAAACCTAGCTTAGAAAACATCAGATAAGAAAACTAAATAACAAATCACAGAATCCAATATTTTAAATATTATTTTTTGTTAGGAATATCTATTATTTCTAGAATTTTCATGGACGTTTAAGGTAGATTTCCAGCCCTTTTTCTGAGTGTATTTGATTGGAAGAATTTAGTATTTGCACTCAAGTGTCCTCAACTTGATGAGGCAGTATTGGGAAATGCATAGAATTTGCAGTTTGCCAATGTGCAAAAATATTACCCAATTTATTGTACAGGTTTATTGGTTAGAAAAACTGTAGTTGAATTTGTCAATTTTGATTGAAAATAAAATTAAATGAAATATACCTGCAACATGTTATCATACTCTAGGGTGAGCAAGGTTCCTAATCTGGCCGCTAGGTTGGAGACACTAACAGGTTTTACATTGGTTCCTAAAACACGTGATAAGGGAGACTTTAACGGTACATAAATTGTAAAATTTTCTTTGGAAGATTTCTAACCTCAAAAAATTGAGTCTTTGCAACAAACTCAAATTTTCTAATTACTATATCTTTGGAACCTGCTGGTGCCAACCTTTGATATTTAAAACTCAGATAATTTGAATTCACAGTTTGAAATGTCTAAGGTCTACGCCCTACGGTCTACGACATTAGATTGCAAAGATAAAAGAATCAGAAAATCAGAGTTTGTGGCAAAGACTTATAATTCCTTTGTTTTTTTTTTCAAATAATTTTCAATAATTTTCTGGATACGCCCGGCCCTCTTTTGCCATAAATCCCCGATTGAAACATGTGGATTGACTATGGCTCAAGGCATTTTCTTCTCGTAAATGCAATTTAAAGAATTTTCTTTATATCTTTTTTTTTCAAATGGAGAAGTTTGAAAAGAATATCAAATAGACGCCAGATCAATAAAGAATAAGGTAAATCTTCCAGAATACTATAGATTTATTTCAGATTTGAAAAATAAACCTTTCTAGTCCCGCAATAATTTAACTTTCTCATTTTAAAAATAAATATATTTTTCTCCTTTTATTAAACAATGATTTCCCACATTAAATGCTTGTTTTGCTTTTTTTCATAAAAACTAGGTCTAAAAATACAACTTGAAGACATTTTTCAGCAAATGCAAGATCGAAGGGCCAAAATTTTAACATTTTGATTAAATTTTAATCTAACCAAAAATTTGGCTTAGAAATAAATATTTATTCAGATTTTTTACTTTCTGTAGCTTCGTACTCAATCAATTTTATTCAAACTTTGGCAAAAGTCGTATCTAGCATTTTTTAATCCAGTCTTTTGAATTAATTGGAAAGTAATTAACAGACTTAACCTACCAAGAATAATGAGAAAGGTTAGATTAGGAAAAACTTGTTGAGTAACTAGATCCAACCCAGAACATGTTATCTTCGTTCTACATCAATTCTTGATTATTTGATAACTTTTGTTTTTCATCAGCATTTGATGGTCTTTTATTAGCTGATATTTTAAAATTAATATATGAATATCTTATCTTTTATAAATAAAGTTGTAATCTGTGTTTGTTAATATGTTTGTTAGTTTTTATGTCCGATCATAACTCATGAACCCCTGGACCAATTTGCCTCAAATTTAGATTGGAGAACTCGGGAATGTTCTCAGCTTGGTTTTAAATTGAGCTATAATCGTAAATAAACACCAATTGCGGGTAAACGGCGGGAGTAACTATGAATACCCTAGGCAACGTTGGGTTCCCAAGCCAGTCTGAACATAAAATAAAAATTTAAATAATCCAAATCATAATTTTAATTTAACTTTGAAATTTTCAAACCCCAGTATTCAGAAATAAATCTTAATTTAAAGTTTTGCAAAATATTTTTGTGTTTGAAAACTTGTAGTATCTTCTATTTTTAAGATAAGGTGGGGAGGGGGAGTGGGCGTAAGAAATGTTAAAAAGCTTGGGGTTAAGGTAGGTGGATGGGGCGTGGGGAAAAGGGGGTAAGGTAGGTTGGGTGTGGGTTAAATATCGGGGGGAGGGGGAGGGGGTGCTATCCATCAGAATAATCAACTAGTCCCCTGGCAAGGTTCAGGGTATGGATTGTTCTTGTATGTCTGACCAAATGTTGTAGACAGGCATCATCTGCATTTGTACCTGGAATTATATTATTATAAATAAATATATATTCTACAGAATAGAAATATATTATTAATCATTTGTAATATCTGTATTGGGTAACAGGCAGACACACAGACAGGTTTACAGACAGACAAACAGGATTATCGAATTTTAATGCGTTATTAAACTAATTTCAAATATCTTTAAGTATAAATACATTAATTTGGTTTCTCTTACCCTCGAGGTTTACATAGCGAAGATACTGTGATGAACAGAGAACAGGATAGATAGATACAGGGTTCAGGTTCTAAATTAGATACTGATTTCAGTTTCTAGGATCTAGGATTTAGGTGCTAGGATAGATACAGGGTTCAGGTTCTAGGATAGATACAGAGTTCAGCTTCTAGGACAGAGATACAGGGTTTATGTTCTAGAATAGATACAGGGTTCAAGGTTCTAGGATAGATACAGGGTTCAGGTTCTAGGATAGAGATACAGGGTTTATGTTCTAGGATAGATACAGGGTCCAAGTTCTAGGTTAGATACAGGGTTCAGGTTCTAGGTTAGATATAGGGTTCAGGTTCTATAAATATGTAAAAATAGAGCAGGCTCTGTGAGGGTAACCCTGTATATATGTAAGTATAGGACTCAGTGCGGGTAACCCTCTATATATGCTAAGAATAGAGTGGACTATGTGAGGGTAACCCTGTATATATGCTAAGAATAGAGCTGACTCTGTGCGGGTAACCCTGTATATATGCTAAGAATAGAGCTGTCTCTGTGAGGGTAACCATGTATATATGCTAAGAATAGAGTGAACTCAGTACGGGTAAGATTAGAGTGGACTCTGTGCGGGTAACCCTGTATATATGCTAAGAATAGAGTGGACTCTGTGCGGGTAACCCTGTAGTGTATATATGCTAAGAATAGAGTGGACTCTGTGCGGGTAACCCTGTATATATGCTAAGAATAGAGTGGACTCTGTGCGGGTAACCCTGTATATATGCTAAGGATAGAGTGGACTCTGTGCGGGTAACCCTGTATATATGCTAAGAATATAGAGTGAACTCTGTGCGGGTAACCCTGTATATATGCTAAGATTAGAGTGGACTCTGTGAGGGTAACCATGTAAATATGCTAAGAATTAAATGCACTCTGATGCGGGTAACCCTGTATATATGCTAAGATTAGAGTGGAATACATCCTGAAGAGATGCAATGAGCATGAATTCAGTTCTGAAAACAATCTAACAAAATTTTCTCTAGAATTTGAAAATAGATTTTTTACTCTTTATTCCTTTAATTTCATTTTCTCTAAGTTTCAAATGATCTTTAGTTCTCTTCTTTTCTTATTTTACTATCTTTCTTGATCTATTGTTTCTTGATCTATCTTTTCTTGATCTATCTTTTCTTGATCTATCATTTCTAGATCTATCGTTTCTTGATCTATCGTTTCTTGATCTATCGTTTCTTGATCTACCATTTCTTGATCTACCGTTCTTGATCTACCGTTTTTGATCTATTGTTTCTTGATCTATCGTTTCTTGATCTATCGTTTCTTGATCTTTCGTTTCTAGATCTTCGTTTAAGAAGCTATTATCAATTCTAATTAGTAATTCTAATTAGTCCTCTATTAACGATTTTCGGCGGTAAATAAGTACAGGAATTATAAACCTTTGGAATACCCTAAATTCCCTAAATACTATAAGTACTATAGCAAAACTTGCATTACCTTACAGCATGTTAGATGGAATGTGACAAGATTTGAGGAATTTTTTGCCAAACTTTTCAAAGCTAAGGGTAGTGCACTGGGATGTGATGGAAGACGACATTCAGTTAAACCGTCAGTACATATACTCCTGAAAATATAGAAAATGGAAGCGATCTTGATGTTGTCTTTTATCAAAGTAATAGGAAGACCACTCTATACTAAATCACACTATTTATTTGTTCAGTGTACTGCAAATCCCTGCCATGCAGTACGCACCGACAGCTTAGTATAGGCTGAGACGACTGTTATAATTCATTTTAATCCAATGAATGTGAAACAAAGCAATCGTGCAAAGTATTCCAAAAAGTAGTTTCACCAAATAAACTGATTCTTAAGCTACTGGAAAACTTTCCTCATTCTAAAAACATCAAATATACTCTCCTATAAAACACTTATTTGTATTCCAAAATATTAATGGTATCTCTATGCATAGGGAAAATCGGCCTATTCAAGTCTCTTTCTTTTGTCAAATGGCCATTTTCATTTTTTCAAAAATAATAAAATTCATAATTATTTTTAAAATCTATATTTCTACTTAACCTTGTCTTAAAGATAAATTATTTGACCTGATAATGTAAGGTTTGAGACCTCTGTTCTCTAGAAGTTCCTGAGCAACCTCGTTAAGCAGAGAGGACGGTAGGATATCAAGTGGGTTTGGATACTCGGTGTATAGTCCTTTAACAGAATATTTATTAGTTTAGGATATCCGGGGGGTTGGATACTCCGTATATAGTTCTTTAACAGAATATTTATTAACTTAGGATATCCAGGGGGTTAGATACTCCGTATATAGTTCTTTAACAGGATATCTATTAGTTTAGGATATCAAGGAGGTTGGATACTCAGTACACAGTTCTTTGACTGGGTATTTATTAGTTTAGGATATCCAGGGGGTTGGAATACTCCGTATATAGTTCTTTAACTGGATATTTATTAGTTAAGGATATCCAGGGGGTTAGATACTCCGTATATAGTTCTTTAACTGGGTATTTATTAGTTAAGGATATCCAGGGGGTTAGATACTCCGTATATAGTTCTTTGACAGGATATTTATTAGTTAAGGATATCCAGGGGGTTGGATATTCCGTATGTAGTTCTTTAAAAGAATATTTATTAGTTTAGGATATCCAGGGGGTTGGATACTCCGCATATAGTCCTTTAACAGAATATCTAGTAGTTTAGGATATCCAGGGGGTTGGAATACTCCGTATATAGTTCTTTAACAGGATATTTATCAGTTTAAGCTATCCAGGGGGTTGGAATACTCCGTATATAGTCCTTTAACAGAACATTCATCAGTTTAAGATATCCATGGGGTTGGAATACTCCGTATATAGTTCTTTAATAGGATATTTATCAGTCTAAGATATATCTAAACTTGTTCACTGTTCAGGTCACGAGATATACAGTGATAACCAGAATAAATGAATGTCGTCTTTATTTATTCTTTTACCTAGAATTGTTTGAAAGGATTTGTATTTTTTTTGACTAACATGCATCAATAAAAATGTGCCCTAAAGGTTTAGAGGCAAATGTATGTTATATTAGTTACAAATTATAAAATGCTTAAATGATTTAACGAGAGAAAAAGATTACAAGAATAATTCCCCTGGTTGCTGGTTATTACTGTACTTTTAAAAGCTATAAGAGAACGAAACCGACAATAATTCCTTTTTTGTTTTTATAAAATTGATATTCTCTATAATAATGTTTGCATTATTCATACAGTCTTAACAGCGTTATCCACAAAGGATGAGAATTAAAAGTCGATAGCACGAAACTTATCTATTCTTTTTCTGGCATTTATGATTTCTTGCGGCGTTTAACGTCGTTATTCTATCCACATTCTTTGTGGGTAAACCTGTATCTATATATATTTGGTTTGGTTTCGTGTCAAGCTAACCTAAAATAACTGAACCGATCAGACCCAAATTTTTTTTGTGGCAACTCACATGACCCAAGGAAGAAGGGGCGCGAAACGCCCTAAAAGCTTAGTATTTATATGAGAGGAAGGAAGACAATATTCAGTATAAAATGTTTACAGATCAGTTTACATCTAATAAACTTTTATTTCTGTGTGTAAATCATTTTTAGATTTTATATTATGCAATACAGGGCCGGGGGGGGGGGAGGTGGAGAAAGGTGAGGGGTAGGGGAATGAAAAGGAGATGGGGAGGGAAGGGGAGGAGGGTGCAGGGGAGAATGAATTATAGGAAACAAAAAGGGAAGTACCGGATCATACCGGATATTACTGAAAGGAAAAGAAAAGAAAAAAGGAAAATGTATTTTATACACTTTGGTAAACAAATTTAGGAAAACATAAACAGAAAAAATTGCAAATGACAGAAACAAAGATTATTCGAAGGAAAGAAAAATTTAACCTGATTTGTTTAATTGTTTAAACTTTGAAGATTCTTTGTAGGATCCGAAACTGATAATTTCAAAGTTAGAAACAATTTCAAGAACTGATAAACGTCGCAGAGACTTTGGAGTCTGCCTTTTAGGCATGTTTTTCAGACAGCTTAAAACTATCTTATACTTTTATAAATATTTTAAGATCTAATCCTGTTTACACTTATTTACACATTTTAAACGTAAAATCTGATTATTATATTTCTATTTTGGTTTAAGAATCTTTTTTTACACTGATTACTGATTATACTGTTTCATTGTTTTTACTTCAAAGCATTAAGATTTCGCGGATTTTATGTTTCACTCTGTTTACATTAATGTTGAACAGCTGACGTACACACTTTGCAAAGCTGACCAGCTTATACTAACTAGATGAGAAAGTTACAGGTGGGTCGTTTTAGAGTAGAGAAAGGAGGAGGAAGGTGAAGGGGGGGGGGTTAAAGTTTTTACGCATTTTTAGTGACTTAACAGCATACTTAATAAAGGGACGTAGATAGTTTCAATTGACTCCTGATTAACACGCTCGAGTCACAACGGTAGCAGCTCTAAGCCTTTATTAAACCTTTATTAGCAACGCGAGATGGGAAAATAAAATGGTAATGATGAGAGAGGGCTATGAGAAGGAAGGGAGGGTGTTTACGCATTTTTTAATAAAGAGTTACCCAAGAGTCAGTTTTTTCTAGTTTGACCCATGGAGCTATAATTCTTGGGATTTCTATCAAACTATCGATTAAATCTTAACAAGACTAAAAATATGTTTATTTTAGAAAAAGAATCGAGAAACATTAGAAAAACTATTTAAATACCTTGTTATTTTCTTTTCTCGAAAATTCTGTAAGAAATTCTCATTTTATTGCTATTTTTGGCAAAGGAACTGAGTTTTCACCCGCAAACCCTGATTTTCTAATCCCTATATTTTCGGAACCCTATGTTCCAAACCTTTGATATTTCAAACTTAGATTTGGTGACCTAACAGAATTTATAGTTTGAAATATCAAAGGTCTACGAAATCGGGTTCCAAAGATATAAGGGTAAGAAAATCAGAGTTTGTGACAAAAAAAAGGTTTAAAAGGTATTTTAACCTATAAAAAAATAGCAAAACATTAAAAAAACAAGCATTAAACAAAACAAACTATATCTTAACAATAATTTCTTACACTTTCTATTTCAAATTTACTTAAGAAAAGACATAAGAAACTATTTTTGACAATTGTTCAATTGACCAATTTATCTGAAACTAAAGAAAGTTAGAAAATGCTTGATCTAAGTATGAACATTATCCATATTTTATTATTATATAACACCATGAACCCTTGGATTCAGCCTATATCCCCATTATCGCGAACACTCCTGTAATTATCTTTTCAGCATTATCCGCACAGCATTTTCTTACAGAAGTTCAATTGAAAATTTCTTTGATTCAAATATTCCCTCATTGGTTGAAGTCCTGGAGAACATTTTTTCATTTATAAGAAATATCTGTTTTAGTTGCATGCTGGACAAAATTTTCCTAAAGTTTGTTGATGTAATATATTCCGGTGCTTGACTTTTATTTTCTATTATGCTAAAGAAGAGAATAAAGCCTCTTACATAATCAAATTTTCTGACAGTGCATGATAAATGCAAGGACAGTTGGTTTTCGTTTCTTAAAAAAAAACACTTTTGCTTCCTGCAGAATTATTATTTTCATAATAATAGTATTTTTTATTTTATAAGCTCAAAAATGTCTATAGTTTCAAATAAAGGTAAAACATAATTTTTTTTAAGAAGTAAAAGAGATTTTTTAAAGAACGATTTCGAAATCGAGTTAAGGCAATGTTATGCCAATTAAACGATTTCGCTCAATTAGTAGATTTTCGAGCTCCTGCATCATTGCATGCAGTGAAATTATCAATTTCATCGATAGACAACAAACTTTGAATATCCATTTCTCCCTCGGAACACAAAAGACTATAAATATCCCTCCCGCCCTCTAAATACCAAATACCACGAATATCCCTCTCTCCCTCGTAAATGTTAAGCGGAACGTGATGGACTACTGACATTTATTAAAGTGTAAACAATGGGTTTGATCTAATGTAACATTTTATATTGTTTAGCATAATCTAACCTTATACTAGTAAACATGTCAGTAGTATTTAATCTGTAAGTAGTCGAATATTCAAAGTACCTGGAAAATCATTCCAAAGTTTCTCAAATATTTTCCCACCGCATCCCAGGCCCAATAATTAAACAATTATCAAAATCTTATTTTAGATAATGGATATTTTTTCCAAATGAATATATTTTTTAAATGCTATTTCATGAACAATCTTGAATATTGAATATTTATTGAATATCCTAATTTATTTTACAGATTACAAAGGAAAGAGGTACACAACTGGAAGCTTTAACAATTTTAATAATTTATTTGAATCAGTTTTGAGATAATAAGAAGGTTAATGGTAAAATGATGAACCTCGTTTTCTGTAACTTTTTTAAAATATAGTTTTTAAACTTTTAAATTCTGGAAAGGTTACATTAAGCTAGAAGTTTTTATCTAAATATTTAAGCTGGTTCCTGATTTCAAAGTATAAATCTAAAATTGATGCATATAGATTTTAACTAAGATTTGTATTATTTACTTCAATTCTTTTTATACTAAAAGTATATAAATTTGAATATATCTACCCTCCTCCTACTTCCCGTAGAGAATACACCTTTAAAGTTTGCAAATATATTATGAATGCCAAGGCACCTTGTGCAAACCTTTAGCAAACTTTATGCAAATAATTTTACTAAACGAAACTATAATATATATAATTTCTAGAAGAATGACGGAGAAAAGAACGGTTTATAGTTTAAAAATGTGGAACAAGTATATGCACACACACGTGGATTTAACGGTTCTGTCAATATTCCAGAACGCTGTGACTTTCGATCACAATTTGACCCATTAAACACATTTTTTAGTCTTTTTTGTCGGCATATGCATTTTGAAGGAAAAAGTATAGAATAAACAAATCCGTAAGTTAAAAGATTGTTGAATTACAGACCAAAACACGTTTGATTTCAAATAGAAGAAACCGAATGCTGCTCACTCTAGTTAGTCCGGGGTGCACAGTTAGAACCAAACAACTGTGGAATAGGAAGACGACATTAAAGCAATACTGAAGTGTATTGTATGTTGTTACAACAAGCAAATAGTTTTACTTGTAACTTTGAAAGGCCTATTAAGTAAAATAGGTTTGTGTACACTATTGTTGTCGCTAAGGAACAAGATTCTGACGATGAACAGATAGACAAGGAATAACCCTCAAATCAAAATCGATAATGCAGAAAACTCTTTATTTCCTAAAAAAAATGAAATGAATAATGATAAATAATTATTTCAGGGTTTACAAATTTATAATGAAAAGATTCTTACGATCTATTTGCCTATTTGGGGGTTATCTGTCGAAAAGTCCGAAGACGCTTTTTATACATTAAAACTTCTGAAAAGAGTAACAATTAAATGTTGAGGAATGTCACTAATTCTTTATATGAAATATTCTTGCTTAACTTTGAAGTGGTTCACAATTAATAAACGTTTATACTCCGTTATCGGAGAACAAAGAAGAAAAGCGGGCTGGAATTGTTTGGTTTGGCTTCTCATCTCCGAGAGGAGCTTTTAGGTTGAAGACGACATTACATGGAGGGGGGGGGGGGTTAATGTTAATGGTTGACAACTATACAACTGCTGTGTCTTATCTTCATTAGACATTAGACAATCAAGTACAGTACGTCGCCCTAACCAGACTAACATACGACAAGGGTAAATTTTCTTGGCATAGTCCCGTCGGAGGTCTAATTATGACAACTCCCACGGCGCGTTCAGACTTTTTACAGTACCCATCCTAATCCTAGACCTATTTGACAGACCCTACTGGCTTAGTCCACCGTGCTTCTTATTCCAGAGTTTTCTGGATCTCACTGTACCTTTTTATTTGTCTATATCCTGATAATTTAGCTGCAACTTTTAGCCTCTCTAACTGTAGAGATTGTCCTATAAAGAGCTCATTGAATTTCAGTGTTAAGAATATTTTATGTTTTAAACACAACTAATTATAGAAAGAAAAAATGTGTTTAAAATTGAAAAAAAAATTTTCTTTTCACGCACTTCTGGTCGTAAAATTAAATCAAGCGAAGTTATAAGGCCGCAAAGTTGTGAAAGTATTTTCTAAAAAATTGCAATGAAAAGTTGAGATTGTAGTGTTGCATAACTTTTTTAAACAAAATTGGTACTCCAACCAAAATCCTCTTTGGTTTTGAATAAAGATGATTTTGTTTTAATTTCAAATTGCAGTATAATTGAAAATGATTTAAATAGAATATATCTAATAATATTCTTTTAAACCCATTTTCACTGATACTACAGCCTACAGGGTTACCCACAAAGAATGGGACTTCAGCGACGACAATACGGATTTTATACTGGGTGTTTCCATAAGTTGATGATTCCAGCTCTGTCAGTGTAATTGTTTTCTTACTTTGCGTCATAATGCCATCAGAAGACTGTATTCAAACCATCAATCTTAAATTAACCTTGAAATCATCACATTTAATTAAAGAGGTCGTCTTTTCAGTCTCATCCTTTTTTGGTAGCCAAGTTTCAAAAAATACTTATTTTTATATAATATAGTTTTGTCAATAAATTTAATACTGTCATGCATAATGTTTGTTAGCGATAAATGTTTAAATAATTTAAATATAAAAATATACGGTTATTAATCAAAAATATTTATGCATTGCGTTACACTTTCACATGATTCATACTTTAATATAAAACTTAATTGCATAAATAAGTTACAGTAATGAGGGGAAAATTTGTTTAGCTGAGCTGGAAATTTATGAATAGAGAGAAGTAGTTGAACTAGTTAACATACTAATCTTATCTTAAGCCAGTCAATAAAAGAACAGAGTATTTGCCTGAAACTCAAATTTTCTAATCCCTATATCTTTGCAACATAATGCTTTACACTTTTGATAATCAAAACTTAGCTTATTTCAGCATACATTGATTCATATGTTAAAAGTCTATACATTATTGGTTTACAAAGATAAAGGGATAAGAAATTAAACCTGAAATTGTGGCAAAAATTTAATTACTGTTCTGTGCAGCCAATTCCACCAAACCCAAAACTGATTTCAATTTCAGCTTCAAGTTTTGAAGCGAGGTCACTTTTAAATTTAATTTTTCAAAATATCGAACAGAATATATTTTAAAAAATTAACAATATATTTTTATTATTAGATTATTATAATTATTATTTATTGATATTTGATTCACCGACATAGGGTCAAACGACCTAGGGTCAAATGCCATAGGGTCAAACGACATAGGGTAAAACGATCTTGGGTCAAACGAAGGTCAAAAACGTGACAAAGGTTAAAACGACATAGGGTTAATAAGTGCGACAAATGGGCAACATTTTATTTAGACTATTTTTAGTTAATTTAAGCTACTTTTATTTTTATTAGAACTAACCCGTGGCCGCAGCGCTCCGTCCCCTAGCCTGTCCTAGCCGCAGCGCTCGGCCCAGAAATTGTCTTAACCTAACCTAACCCTTAAATAAGACATAGTTTTATGTTCATTTGAACTACTAGCCGCAGCGCTCGGCCCCCTAGCCTGTCCTAGCCGCAGCGCTCGGCCCAGAAATTGTCTTAACTTAACCTTACCCTAAAATAATACATAACATATTTTTTCCATTTTGACCCTTTGTCGCTTTATGATCCTGGGTGGTTTGACCCTATATGTCGTTTGACCCTGTGTCAGTGAATCTTATTTTTTAATGAAAAACCAGTTTCATTTTTAGCGAACACTCCCTTTAATTGCTTTAATTGAATAGAATACACCTAGTTATGGAATATATCCTGGTGGATATATTATTCCTTCTAAGAATGTGTATCTGTAAAGTTTCTCTCTACAGTTATCTATGTTCCAAACAGATGGAACGGAGTAGGACGGAACGTAGGACGGAATTAGGGGTCGAGGACTCCACGTCATACTGGAGTCTAGAGGAAGTGTCTTGTGGTGTTTTCCAGTTGAAAAAGAAGGCCTAATGATTCCACTGCTCAATGATTCTACATCTGCGTCAAGATCTTCATCTTTGTCTTTCAGATCAGTTCCATCATTCGAGGTATCGACATGGCTATCAATCCTTGGCATATCTTCTGATATATTAGAATTTGTTTCAGTGTCTCCTCGTAGTTCTCTGAAATGGTCTAACATTCGCATCATAGTTTCCGCACTGAGATGTGCTGGTCCACTGAAAATATAAGCTTGATAAAACTGGTTTAGAAATGTTGTACTGTCACTGGTGCCAGCACCAGCACTGTCAGCTGATTCTGCAGGAGGAATCTCAGCTGTTCTATCAATAGAATCATTTGGAGGATTTGCACCTGGAGAAAAAGGCAATTCCTCTGCTTGAATCCTTCTTGATGATTTATGCAGAGCTGAGATACTGAATATTCCAGGTCTAGAATCGTCTGGATCTGCATCAGTATCAGGCAATTCAGGATTGCTTGATGTTCTGGGCATACTACTACTTGCTAGTTCTGCAGGGTTTCGGCTTGATTTATCAAGCATACTACTGCTTGCTACTTCAGGATTATTTAGGCTTAATATTTCATGCATACTGCTGCTGCTTGCTACTTCAGGATTATTTCGGCTTGATATTTCATGCATACTACTGCTTGATACTTCAGGATGATTTCGGCTTGACATTTCAAGCGAACGACTATTATTGGAACTTGATTCTGCCTGAATGCTTCCAATTGTTGATATGCTTGAAGTCCTAATTGCTTTGGTAAATTTTGGCATTGTTCCTGTAAAAGAGAAGAGTTAATCAAAAATCTCTATAACTTAAAATACAAAAAAAAATCAGGTTTTTTTGCCTGCTACAGTGATGTCCGGAAGAATTTTTTCCTCCCCAAGCTCTAGTTCATATTCATATTCCAGTAGTTCAGATGACCTAGAGAAAAATACTATAATCATGATAATTTAAGAAAAAAAGATATTTCAATCTGAACATTTAATAATTAAACCTGATTTGTGACACTGAGACAGGTAGCCGAGGATGTTTTCCCTTTTTGAACAATCTCAAAACTTCTTCTTTCTTTCTCTAAACAATAAAAAAAACAGATAAAAGCAAAAAATAGAAAATCATTAACATTTTAAATTAAAAGATTTGAGCCACAAACTCAAGTTTTCTTATACCTATAACTTTTCAACCTGACGGTGTAAACTTTTGATATTTCAAAATTAGAATATTTTTCGAACAGAAGTCATAGTTTCAAATATCTAAAGTCTACGACATCAACTTGCAAATATAAAGGGATTAGAAAATTTGTTTGTGGCAAAGAATCAATGTCTTTGAAAGTGAACTGTTGAATATAAATCTCGTGGTGCCACTTTTATTTTCTTTATGATCCTAAATCTAAAGAATGACCGATTCCCAAGAACCCCGTAAAGTTTTCTCAAATTACCTTTCTGATAATTTATAATTTTCAATTGAAGTTCTCTGTAGGAACTTTCTGATGTATGCATGCAGCAGAGAAATTGAGATTGATTCTTTTCAAAAGAGAAAAACTTCAAAATATTCCTCACTGTTACCCTGCATGCAAAGATGTCAATGCCCGATTCACAACGGTATATCATTAAAAGCTTTGTCTGATCAAGTATGAATTAGACATAAATATTTATAAGATTAATTCCAATTGTGGATCTCTACAAAAGTGGTTCCACTGCCAGAAAACATATTGGAATGATCAGAATAAAACGACAAAATTCTTCATAATATTGATCAGATAAAAAGCTTTCAAGGTTACCATTTTGAATCGGGCATTGCCTTCTTTTGCAGATATAAAGGGTCCTTGAAATTACGCTTACAGACTCTTTCAGGGTACCAGCAGTGTGAATCGACCAGGTGACGCTTTAAGTTTAGGTTCACCTGAAATTACGTGCAGTAAGGTCCCTTACCTTAGGTTTAAACTTGATGTAGTTGTTGTATTGAACTAATGGATGAATTGTTCCATCTTTCCCTAATCTACACATCACATATCATATTTTTTTTACTTTTAATATTAACATTCTTGCTTTTTTTAACATGTTATTTTTCTTGATTTTATTTTTAATCTCATATAAGTTTTTTAATTGTATTTTCTATTTTTTTAAGGTAATATTGACATTTGAAGCCCAATGAATTCAAACAAAAACTTTTGAATTCTTCAGATCAAAAAATGCAGCACCTTCTCTCGAAAATGGATTATTAATATTAACTGATTATTAATTATGATCCTGCCTTGTTGAACTAAAGGGAGGATCAGTTGAACTCTTGAGAATATGAACAAGATCTAAAACATAAAATTCAATTAAAAGGTTTGAAATCACAAAACAAATAATAAAATGGAAATAGCAATAATTGCAAATGGTTACCCACAAAGGTTTAGAATTAAATAACGACCTATAAATGATTTTGCACAGAAAGAACCAAGTTTACAGTTACAGGAAATCAAGTTCGCAAGAAAAGTCTTGATAAATATCAGTCGCCGTTTTATGTTGTTATAAATAATAGCAATTGAAACAAAAACTTTATTCATATTTTTTTGCAAAATCAGTTTTCAGTTTGCCGTGGTGCAGTATTTGATGAGTATTATAACCTGAGTTTGCCGTGGTGCAGTGTTTGATGAGTATGCTATAACCTGAGTTTGCCGTGGTGCAGTATTTGATGAGTATATTATAACCTGAGTTTGCCGTGGTGTAGTATTTGATGAGTATGCTATAATCTAAGTTTGCCGTAGTGCAGTATTTGATGAGTATGCTATAACCTGAGTTTGCCGTGGTGCAGTATTTGATGTATATGCTATAACCTGAGTTTGCTGTGGTATAGTATTTGATGAGTATGCTATAACCTGAGTTTACCGTGGTGCAGTATTTGATGAGTATGCAATAACCTGAGTTTGCCGTGGTACAGTATTTGATGTATATGCTATAACCTGAGTTTACCGTGGTGCAGTATTTGATGAGTATGCTATAACCTGAATTTGCCGTGGGGCAGTATTTGATGAGTATATGCTATAACCTGAGTTTACCGTGGTGCAGTATTTGATGTATATGCAATAACCTGAGTTTACCGTGGTGCAGTATTTGATGTATATGCAATAACCTGAGTTTGCCGTGGTGCAGTATTTGATGTATGTGCTATAACCTGAGTTTACCGTGGTGCAGTATTTGATGAGTATGCAATAACCTGAGTTTACCGTGGTACAGTTTTTGGTGTATATGCTATAACCTGAGTTTACCGTGGTACAGTATTTGATGTATATGCAATAACCTGAGTTTCCCGTGGTGCAGTATTTGATGAGTATTATAATCTGAGTTTGCCGTGGTACAGTATTTGATGAGTATGCTATAACCAAAGTTTGCCGTGGTACAGTATTTGATGTATATGCTATAACCTGAGTTTGCCGTGATGCAGTATTTGATGAGTATGCTATAACTGAGTTTGCCGTGGTGCAGTATTAGATGAGTATGCTATAACCTGAGTTTGCCGTGGTGCAGTATTTGATGAGTATGCTATAACCTGAGTTTACCGTGGTGCAGTATTTGATGTAGAGTATGCTATAACCTGAGTTTGCCGTGGTGCAGTATTTGATGAGTATATGCTATAACCTGAGTTTGCCGTGGTGCAGTATTTGATGAGTATGCTGACCCAGAAGAGAGTGAGTATGATTAACGAACCGAGGAAGAACCAGAAAGACCATTCAGAGCTTGCCCCACCTCCTTCATCTTCTATTCCGAATCCTAGATTTTCATTGAAATTAAGTTCTGCTCAATTATTTCTCTTTAATGAAGTGTTCACTTTTTACAAAATACATCTATTCCCTTCATTTAGGAATTAGTACCCAAACTAATCCAATTTTTTCGCTTAGAATATTCCAAGCGTCAGAATGTCCTTTGTCCAGTGTTTATACTCTCAGAAAACCGAAAAATTGTCCATTGAATTTCGAGGATTTTTTCACAATTCTAATTTGGGGTTTCCACCTAAAAGCAAATTTTCTAGAAGTTTGCGCGAAAATTTTCTTTTGGTGGATTTCCGTTTTGAAATAGATGAATATTCATTTAAACTGGTATCATGACATTTTGTTTGATGGAATACATTTCTTTAATTATCTATTTGACATTTTACGACACAATTAAAAACAAAAGAAAAAGGGAGACAATGGAAAAAGTTTTACAATACATATGTTACAAACAATGCATGCATGCCTAAATCTTAAATAATCAAAAACTAAATAAAGGTTCACTTTACGCCCTTCATTCTCCAAATTATTTACCTAGCTTTTACCTTATAAATTCGTACATTTAAGGAAAGAATATTAATCAAAAGTTTCATCGAATACATATATAATATAAGTGAAATTTTAAATAATTAAAAAATACAATTATTTTGAACAGTTTTTATTTTTAACGTCCACCAAAAAAGTTCTGCTCTGCTCAGCCGTTACGACGTTTTTAATATATAAATAAACAAAGCAGACATAGATTTGTCTTTCGTTGGGTTGGGAGACAGATTGAAAATATAATCTTAAATTTACTTACATTTTTGTTTGTAAAGTTTTTTTAAAACTTTTATCACATAATTCCCATGTTTATTGTGACACCCTGTAAACCATAAAAGAACATCTGACCCCATTTATTCAGTGTTTGTGATTCCTTTGTTTCCACCATGGAGCTTTATATTTGAAATTATGCAGGCCAAATTCTATTTGTTTTTTTAAAAATCTTATCTGAAATTGATGATTGGTTGATTGATTTGACCTGTTTTATTGATGGTTAAATCAGATAATTGATTTACTAAACAACAGGAGGCAGAACAGCATTCTATACTTCCTAAACAGATAATTGATTTTCTGAAACAACATGAGGCATAACAGCATTCTATACTTCCTAAACAAGTAATTGATTTTCTTTAACAACATGAGGCAGAACAGCATTCTATACTTCCTAAACAGATAATTGATTTTCTAAACAACAGGAGGCAGAACAGCATTCTATACTTCAACAGATAATTGATTTTCTAAACAACATGAGGCAGAACAGCATTCTATACTTCCTAAACAGATAATTGATTTTCTAAACAACATGAGGCAAACCAGCATTCTCTACTTCCTAAACAGATAATTGATTTTCTAAACAACATGAGGCAAACCAGCATTCTCTACTTCCTAAACAGATAATTGATTTTCTAAACAACATGAGGCAAACCAGCATTCTCTACTTCCTAAACAGATAATTGATTTAACAAAACAACAGGAGGCAGAACAGCATTCTATATTTCCTAAACAGATAATTGATTTTCTAAACAACAGGAGTCAGAACAGCATTCTATACTTCCTAAACAGATAATTGATTTACTGAACAACAGGAGGCAGAACAACATTCTATACTTCCTAAACAGATAATTGATTTTCTAAAAAACAGGAGGCAGAACAGTATTCTATACTTCCTAAACAGCTAAGGTTATCAATCTTAAAGGGACTTAAAGGGACCCGCCTCCATTTAAAAAGTTGTATGCCCCATTAACAATTGTACTTTGAGCTGGGAACTTTTGAATTGGATACCCTGAATCCTAATCGCTTAATCTGAATATTCAATGTGGACACTTTTAATTCCTGCTTAATCCGTTCTTTTTAAATATCCCTATACCAGATTTCTACGGATGAGAGTTATTTATAAAAAGGCGCGTCAAATTTAAAATTTCCCGACTTCTGAATGGCTGATCGGAATTCTACATACGCCACTCTATTGGTTGAATTTTATATACTACAAACTAAAGATTGAATTAATGTTGAGATTAATAAAAAGGGGAGATCAAGCATTTATCTTGATATCCAAAATTCTAAAGTTTTTAGCTCTGAAAACTTTTGTCTGAGCAAAAATGATAAAAATATCCATGTTTTTCCATCCGAAAATTTATGCTTTGATTTGTGCAGCAGAGACGTGGAAGGAAATTGACAAAATTCATGTCTTTTCCAGCTAGAAAAATTACAGTTTCTTCCTCAAGGTCTAAAGGGTACCAGTGTGGATCCGAATAGGACATGTAACTCTGTAACTCCCTAAATATACCTTCTTGAAGAGTTTCCTTGTCTCTACTGAAGTCTGGAACTATATTTGTTATAACTGGGTTCCCTACAGTACAAGTGAACAGTACGCTTACTTTCAGTTTTCTAAACAAATAAAGATTAATTGTCAAATACATTTGTTCAAGATCAAAGTCACGATCAATGTAACGTTTAGGGTTAGAGTTCAGGTCAAAATAGCAAATAGTTCAAGCAGCTACTTATAGTTTAAAATCAATGTTAAGGCCAAATTCAGGTCCACGGTCCAAGGAAACACCAAAGCCTAATGTCTTGTTAAGAGTTTAGATAAAGGTAAAATGCATGTCAATGTTAAGGTTAAGTGCAAGATCAATTAAATGATTAGATTCACGGTCATGGACACACTTCACTTTAAAAATGAAGTATTTCTATCGATACATAGCAGGGAAGGGATTTGTTTAAAAATGATCTTTAGTTTACTTAAAGGTTCAGGTTAAAGTCAGGGTCAAGGTTAAGATATTGGTCTTGTTCAAGGTCCTGGTTCAGTTAAGGTCATGCTTACAGGCTATGGCAAATTTCAAGATACAGGTCATTGAAAAGGTCCAGGTCAAGGCCATGGTTCTGTAAATTTTTTAAGATCAAGTACTAGTTTAATAACCAGACTGTGTGAAATATCAAGGTCAAGTCAAGTCAAGTGTGGTTACTGACCTATTATAGCATCTGTATACAGCACGAGGCACTGATATAGTCTGGTTCAAATCCACATAGGATACATTCATACCTAGATACTTAGGATGCATTCATATCTAGATACATAGGATACATTCATGTCAAGATACATAGGATACATTCATATCAAGATACATAGAATACATTCATATCTAGATACATAGGATACATTCAAACCTAGATACATAGGATACATTCATACCTAGATACATAGGATACATTCATA